GTAGCACTGAACGCGGACTGGTACCAACCTGAGCTGTGCGGCGAGAACCGCCAGGATTTTGGTGAAAACCCTTGGAGCTGATGATAGGCCGAATGGCAGGGCCCTGTACTGATAGTGATGGTTGGAATACCTGAATCTGAGGAAACGCCTGTGATTTGGATGTATGGGAACGTGCAGGTAAGCTTCTGTCAGATCTATGGATGTAAGAAAATCCCCCGGCCGAATACTGCCCAGAATAGAATGAAGAGTTTGCATCTTGAATTTTTGGTAAATTAGGTACCGATTTAGAGCCTTGAGGTCTAGGATCGCCCTCCATCCTCCTGAGGGTTTTGGTACCACGAACAGGATGGAGTAGAAACCCAGTCCCCATTGATCTGGGGGTACCCGCTCTATTGCCTCTATGCTTAACAGATGACAAATGGCCTCCTCCATGAGACCTTGTTTCACGGGATTTCTGGATAGGGGGCAGGAGATGAAGCGCCGAGGTGGGAGTGTGAGGAACTCCAGAGACAGTCCATCTCTGATAGTGGTTAGAACCCAATTGTCCGTGGTGGTACTTTCCCATTTGTGGAAATATAGTGCCAGTCTTCCGCCAACGGGAGGAATCCGCCTCAAGTCACTTTGACTTTCGGAAAGGATGAGCTCCTCTGCCGCGAAGGGGGCTCTTAGCCTGGAATTGTGGCTTTGGCTTGTCTCTGTAGCCGGACCGGTCCGATGAGCGGTCCGGCCCTGCTTGAAAGGGCCGATACCCGCTCCATGTAGTTCGGTCTGAGCCAGACTTGAACGACGGACGCCGGTTGTATGGAGAAAAACGTCTGCCCGTTTTTTTGACAACATGAGCTAGTACTTTCAACTTTTCTTTGTTTTCAGTCAGGTAAGGAGTGAGAGCCTCTCCAAAAAGGCGACCCTTATGATATGGTGCCGCAGCTACTCTCCATTTGTGCCTGGTATCGGCCTTCCAATTTTTTTAGCCAGAATATTTGGCCGACTGCAGAGACACATCCGCCATGTATTCCAGTGCGGCCCTTAGTTTAGTGACATCCTGGTGAACCCTTACCTCGTCTGGGGATAATCTGGCCTGTAATTCCCTGAGCCAGATTAATGCAATTCTAGCAAAAAAGGAGTTAGATGTTGAGGCTCTTATAGCTCAAGCCGATGCCTGATGGGTCCTTTTGAGGGAAATCTCAGACTTCTTGTCCTCAGCCTTAAGGGCCTCCGACATATCTCCTGGGATTTTGGTGTCTGACAGTATGGGGGCGAGAACCTCGTCTACACTCGGAACTTTGAGGACATCGTTGAGGGAAGGGACCGTATCTAAGAGCTTACGATCTAATCCCCCAAGAGCAGAGAAACTTCCAGGACATCCCCACTGATCCTGAATGGATTTGAGAAACATAGGGGGGCAAGGTATCTGTAGGTTCTTCTTGACCGGTTCCAGAAACAGTGGGTCAGAACTCTGTCCAGAGTCCTGATCGGTCGTCTGTGGTTTCACAGGTTCAATTTTTCCGATGACATAGGCCTTTTGTAAAAGAGGATAGAAGGAATTTGGATTAAACACCCCTACCATAGGAGTGGCCTCCGCCTGAATGTCTTCCCCGTCTGACCACATGCCTTCTTCCGGAATCTGAGCAGAAAAATCTGATATCTCACTCCCTTCAGATTGAGGTGGAGAACCGTGATCTGAAATCACATACTCCCTGGGATGCCTAGTTTCCGTGGGCGTAGGGGGGGTTGACGGTCCTTGGACCGGAATGGCCCTCCCTGAAGCCGCCATTGCCTGAACCACCGCCTGTGAGATCATGGCTTGGAGCTGGACAGTAAATGAAGGATGTTCGGGGCCCCGAAGACCCGCCACCATCGGCGTGAAAGATGCTGAAGGGATTGGGGGAGGGACGACTGTAGTAACTCAGTATCACAGTCTGGAATATTACCAGATAAAATGGAGTGAGAGACTCAAGGTATTTTCCCTATGTCCACTAGGCAACCTGAGATGGTGCCTATTAAGCAGCTGAGTGAAGATCTAAAGGAATGTAATTAGAACTCCTATTCCCCCCCCCCCACTTAGGGAGAATCACCAAATAAGTAAGTTACTTCGTGACTGAAAAGGCTGTAATTAGGACAAAGCAGTCAATTTAATGTGTGTGATCGGGCGGAGCCCAAAATGGCGGCCGGGACAATCTGATGAGAGATGAAACAAGCTGAGAGAAAAGATCCTCTCCTGCAAGTAATCTGGTAATCAGCTCTTTTAGTCAAACAGTTCACCTGCTGGTTTTGTTTTTTTTTTTGGTAATTTACAGCTGACAATCAACAGTAACAAGTACTTGAGTAGTGTGAGGATCGAGCCTTCTAGAGGCTCAAAATGGCGCCCGCAGGTTGTTTGAATTGGTAACAAACCTAAGAAGGTGATTTCAGTTTTCAGCTGAAAATTAGTAGTTTAGCTTCGCAATTCACAGCGAAGATCTTGGGAGGGGGTGGGGGAGGATGGATTGTAATGAGGAGGCAGCAATCTACGATCAGCTGTCTGCCTCTGAAAACTCACGGAGAAGGGAATTGATTAAGAGAGAAGAAATGGTGCAGCACTGAGCTCAGAGTTGAACCAATCCCCCCCCCAGGAAGGAAAAAAAGGATAGAGAAACCACGAATGGCAATAACTACCTTTCTGAATCTAAATTAGGAGCCAAATTCTCATGTGTCTTCAGGGCTGAGACCAAACGAAAACTGGGGCATGGTCAGACCCTGCAGAGGCGTGGCAACTTTGATTGTTTGGTCTGATTGGGCTAGAAGACTAAATCAACCCATCCGTGGAGTCTACATTCCTCTACATGCTGGAGAAATGTAATATTTAAATGTATCATGTTAATTGAGGGGAATAGAGAGGGGATAGTGAAATTTATTGAGTTGTGTTGTTTATATATATTTTTACTTTTGGATGTTTGACCACCCAACCACCACGGTGGGTCCTGAGTACTTTTTCTTAAGATTTTTTAAAAAAAAACAATAAAATGTGTTAAAAAAAATCTGGATGCTTGGCAATTGACTCATATTTATGATGGTGGCAATGTCCCGGGGTCATGTGATCACCTTTTGTGATCTTCTGACAAGCAATGGGGAACACCAGATTCACTTAACAACCGTGTTATTAATTTAACAATTAATGATTAAGTGATTCACTTAAACTGTGGTAAGAAAAGTTGCAAAATGTGACAAAATTCATTTAACAAATGTCTCACTTAGCAACAGAAATTTTGGGCTCAATTGTGGTCGTAGGTCAAGGCCTATCTATATATTAAAATATAGTAAAATGCAACCAATATATCAAGACAAATCTCATGGAAAGCTGGGGAGAAAGAATATTTTTTTCAACTTACAAGTTCAACTTGAAAATTTGGATAAGCTTGATAAAGTAATAATGATTTTAGAACAGTGGTTCTCAACCTTTTTAATGCCAGGACCCCCAACCGGTCGTACGTCGAGGACTACTCAACTGGTGCAGCACCGTTTGCAGAATGGGACTTTTGGCGGGCTCAGCAGGGCAGAGACACCCTGGATAATTCCTATTGGCTTTTGAAAGCCAATAGAATTAGACTCTATTCAAGAGAGTCTATTCTATTGGCTTTCAAAAGCCAATAGAATAAAAGGGAGTAGCACAGCTAAGGAAAAGGGGAAAAAATGGCGGACTGTGTTGTTTGGCGACCCCCGTGAAATGGTCGTTCAACCCCAAATGGGGTCCCAACCCACAGGTTGAGAACCACTGTTTTAGAAGGTGGTAACCAGATTGTAGCTCAGAGTTTTTATATCTGAATTCAAATGCCACTTATCTAGAGCAAAGGTATATATCCTAGGACCCCAGAATGTCACATGATAGTGAAATGGGCAGCAATAAATTGAATCAATAAAAAACAAATGAACTCCCCCTAAGTTCTGGGTGCTGGTTTTAGGAATCCTTCAAAAATTATAGAAGGGAGATGATCTTGAGTAAGCTTGTATTCACAGACCAGGAACATCTATACCAAACAGCACTTTGAAAAGATCAACTACTATTATCTGGTATAATGAGTATCAGTAGCTTTCAATCAAGAGAATCACGCTCCAATTTAAGCATCTCTGTGTTACCTGCACTCTGGATAAGACTTATCCTGATTACATGAATAGTGAGATATCAAACTCCTTTGGTACTAACCAAATTAGTTAGTTGCCATTCATTAGAACTTAACTCTTGTGTGACCATGAATGCTTGTCACTTCAAACTGCCTCATAGTTTTTCCAAGGACAGGCCTATCATCCCTTTGATCCTATCCATCCTATAATCTCATGCATCCTGTCCTGCTGTGTTGTCAATTGACAAACAGAATATCCACATTTCTAGAAGCTAAATTTAGTTTTCCAAGAGGTAATATCAATAGTTGCTTAAAACTACACTACATACAAAAAGCTTGCAACACTACCTGAGAAGGTTAACCAAGACTAATACACATCAGAAATGTAGTGCTTAGACAGGTGGTTTCCTGAGTTGAAAAGGCTTTGAAGGCTTTCTTCTGTGATAAGTCCATGGTCTGACAATAAAATGGCTTCACCTTTCATGCTAATTCACAATTTATAAAGTCGTAAACAAGTAATGGCTGGTTCAGATGTAACAAAAAAATTCAATTAATTTGCTTTATTGTAATCTTGACCAACATTACATAGATAGATTTTTGGTTGGAATGTGATTTGCAGACACCTGGGCTATGTTCATATTTCATGCTAAACATGGTTTGCCTATGATTTATAAGATAATCAAAATTTGCTGTTTTTGTCCAAATGCTAAACTTTAAATACAGTTAATAAACCACAATGGCTTGGCTTGCATAATATGTTATTTCCAAACCAAGCAAGCTTGGACCATTGCATGATCTAGTCATTCAAAATACCTAGAAGATTTACATAATTCACCATTGGGTTACAGATTTCAGAAAGATTTAGATTATAGCTTCATAGGTAGAAATATGCATGCTACTTACTGCTTCATGTAATTCTCCATGCTGGCAACATGATTTGTAGGAAACTATCGGGGTTACACTATCAGAAGACATCAACAAAGTTTCTTCCAATTCAATTTCTTTCTCTAGCTTTACTAATACTGGTGGTTCAACTCCATGTCTATAAAAAGAAAAATGTATAAAATACTACATTTAGAATTCTAACAAAAATCTAAGATAATAACCATAGGGTGAAAATAGCTATTATACTTATGACATATGTAAAACATGAATACTTGAAATCATTGCTATCAAGAAAAAGGAGAATTATCTAGGTTAGCTATAGAACTGGTATTGTTCCCGAGTACTTTTGGGAGTAAGGGTAGAACACAGGAATAAAACATTCTATTGTCCTACGGGTTACTGGCTTCTTCAGTAAAACTTAGTCCCCTACTATGGATTAGTGACAGTAGAGGTTCTTTCATTATCTCACCCAATGGCAAAAGAAGACTTCCTTTTCCACTTGTAGGTGGGAAAATGCAAAATATCCTATGACATCTGGATTGCCTTTCCAGAGAATATAGGATTATAACTGAATGGCTGTGTTTCATAATACTCTTAACTTAAAAATGAGGTTTATCAAGTAATCCATTTTCATGACGTGTACACAAAACCATACACTAATCAAGCGCTAACTGAAATGCACTAGGTTAGTTTGTAGTACCATGTACCTTATGAAAACAGCCAATTTCTGGGGTGAAAGCTCTTAAGAACCTTTAGGGAGACTTATTATGCATTCAAGCATCTACTTGGAGAAAGAAATGAATACACACCTCGATACAATGCGACCAATTTCCAGCAAGCAAAGGTACACTTGTCTTCGGTCTTTATGCAGCACTGTAAAAAAATTAGTGCATGTAAGGAAAAAAAATAATTCAGTGAAACCTAGAGAACTTACCTGTATTCAACAGCATGGAGCAAAATTTGCAACACATGTAACTCATATGTAAACATCTAAGTCTGTACCAGCAAGTTCTTTTCTAATCTACTCCCTGGTGTACTTTTGCTTGGCATCCAGACCTTCCTTTAGCTATCATTGATTTGGAAATCTAGCAGTGCATTTATTTATTTATGTATTCATTTAAAACATTTATATAACTGCCCATCCTCTAAACAACTCTGGGACGCTCCCAATCAAAGATTAAAACAACATATAAAACAGTATAAAACTATAAAAGCAAACACGTTAAACTATTAAAAACAACAAAACCCTCGTGCCAATTCAAATTTCTTATTTGCAATCATCCAATCTTATCCCAGCGCTTGGGGGAAAAGCCAGGTCTTTAAAGCTTCACAGAAGGCTAGGATGATAGAGAGGCCTGCCAAATTTCAGAAGGCTGAGTATCCCATAGGACGAGGGCTGCCATGGAAGAGGCATGCTTCCTAGTTCCCAATACTAACAGCGACCCAATTACGAATATACATGGCATGAGGTTTGTGCTGGAGCCCTATCAGCACTCCCTTTGGGGTTTGCTTGGGCAAATCAACTGTCCCATAAGACCATGCTCTCTGGATTTTCCTTCCTGCTATCCCTGGACAAACTGTCCACAAAGTTTAGCTAAGTGTGCCTCTCTTAGCTTTCACCAAAGTGACCTGTGTCCTTTCCATATGTCTGTAGCAGAATCTCCCAGCAATGAGGAGGAACAGAATCGTAGACACCTCCTGAAGAAAACCTTCCCATGACCTTCTCAAACATAAGCCAATAGATTAGTTAAAGGCCTTGGTATACACCTTTGTTAAAGAAGACATCCAATGATAAGGGCCATTTTTTACATTTTCAATTCCCTATGGGGTTGGGAGGAATGCTTAAAGCAGAAATCATGGATATTAGCATAGTGGAACCAATGTGACTACCCGGGCTACCAGCTTACTGTAAGTAGCCTGGCCAATCAAAGCTTTCCATGGAAGAAGAGGTAGTCTCTCTGGACTTTTGGAAAGGCGGGTGGGGAACATTAATGCTTAATATGAAGTTCTTCAATAAAAGGAGTCCTTTCCCAAATTGTCACTTTCTGAGAGAGAGCAGAAAATTGAATCTCAAATGCTGTTCTGGCTTTTCCATAATCTGAAACTCGCGACATCACGCAATGTATCGGGACTGTTTTGCCATTGCCGGCAATGGGGTGGGCGCAGCTTCTGCATGACACATCTGGCCCGCGGGCCGGCAGTTTGACACCCCTGCTCTAGGAGTTCCTAACCTTCACTTTGAGAAATCCTGCTTTATCCTATGTGGTCCCTTCTTTCAAAAATTCTCAGCTGCAAGGAAAAATGCATTCAGGATGTGTAATAGAATAGATGCATATTAGAACAACCATAATTTTCATAGATATTGAATGTAAGTAAAGAATTCTGAATATGTACAACAGAAGGCAGGATAATCTGGGCCATACAAGCAGAGGAATGCCTGACATTTAGTTTGAGTTATAAACCTTCAATATGGCATTATAATGGCTAGATCAATTACCAGATTTATCTAAGAAATAAACTGCATAAAATATGAAAATGGATGGTCACATGAGGTTATTTTTTTTCCAGAAAAGTCAAGCTATCTTTTCCTTTCACCAAAAGGGCAGGAGCAATGAAGCAAGTTTAAAAGGTTCACTTTTGAAAGTAAAACTATCAATACTTGTATTTCTTTAAAATAAATCTGATTAATCAGAACTTAAACAGACTTGTTCCTTGAACATTCCAGTCTTCATTATGATGAGTTTGGGCAACCTGTGTCATATTAATATGGTCCAGCTCCCGTGATGAGGCACATCTCACCCAGCTCAATGTTTTGTACAAGTTGCTTATGGCAGGTTTACAACTGCAAAATGAGTTTAGCCTCTTTTTAAAAGTATAAAGATTCAATGGCCCTTGTAATGATGAATGCAGTGAAACTCTTTTGAAACCCAGATGGCCCCTGCATGAATATTGTCTAGGCACAAACCCACTCTTTATTTCACTCCCACAACCTTACAAAAGGGTCCTTCCAGATCTTTGCCAAGAACACACAAAGCATATATTCATGCCACAAAACCAGCTACTGTAATCAGTAACCACTTTCAAAATATTCTGAATTATGTCCTTAAAATTGCAATATTATACAGGGTTGGTGAACCTACACCCTGTTCCTTTATAGAAAAAATTAACTGAATGTAGATTAAAATATGCTGTGTAGGAGATATATCAATCCTATCATTCTTGGATGACATTGTGTCTTATAAACCCTGTCCACTGTTAATTACATTGAAAAACTATTTATAAACTGAACTTTGCCATACATTTAACAATTCTGAATTATATTTTTTAAATTTAAACAAACCCACACCATGCAAAGCAAATACATAAAGAATACTCTTCAGGAAGGATATACACCAAACAATTTAAACATTGATTTTATATAGGTCTAAGGCTTACAGCTATGTCTATCTATTCTTAAAAGGAACAATGCTAAAAACGTAATTATCAATACATCTTCAAGCTATTTTTCTTAATGAACAGTATAAGATTTTAGTCCATCTGGAAAAATTTGGTCTGGCAGCTGCTGGTTACAAGGTCCAGCCTGAAACAACAAGAGGTAGGCAGTCCAATCCTTGAGGTGCAAACCCAACAACAGATTTACTTAGGATGAGGTAATAAACTGAGGGTAGCAACTCTAGGCATAATTAATAGTTTGTATTTTTATAGCTACCAAGTTAGGAAAAAGACATAAAAGTAGAATCCAGGATTTGAAGCAAAAGATTAATTATCAACAGATTATTAACTACTAACATTAAATTCTTCATTCAACAGCCTAATTTAGCAACCAGGTACATATTATACTTTATTCAGAGATTCATAATCAAGAGTCTTTATTGCCATTTTGAGGAAAGGCAACATATTCATTAACATAACAAACACAGTTTTACATATACTTTTAAAAGGTTGTTTAATCTATGAGGATCTGTAATACAAAAAGCTTCAACGCTACCATGGATACCGTATATTCCGGCGTATAAGACGACCCCCAACTTTTGAGAAGATTTTCAGGGTTTAGAAAGTCGTCTTATACGCCGGAAAATATGGTACAATATTGAATTTCTCTTTATAGATGAGCACAAAAGGAGCTCCATTCCTTTGCTGCTAGAAAACGAGTGTTGCCCCCCACTGCTTCCCTAATGCTTCCTGAACTCAGCTGGTATTTTTTCCCCATATATTTTATTGATTTTTTAAAACATAAATCACTTAAGAGTTGGTAAACGGTGTGTTTGCTGGGTTTACATTTGTAAAGAAAAATCATTAACAATTGGTTTCTATAATCTATAATCCACATAGTACATTTAGTTGATTTCCCCTTTTCCCCAAAATGTCTTCTTTGCAAACCTTGAAATAATATAGTTCTTATTATTTTGATAAAATATATTTAATCTTTAAATATTCCATTTAATGTGCCTAGTCATCTAATCCTTTAGGTCTTATTCAAAACATTTTTTTTCTTTTTTATACATTATAATTTCCCTAAATTCAGACACATGTAATTATCTAAAACATTTCCTTCATCTAGGCCATTTCAGCAGTATTATATTACTTATATCAAGAAATAAAATAAAAGGGGGGGAAAGCATACAGTATTATTTAAGGAATTCATCTCTCTTAGAATGACATATGTATTCAGAATCTTTTCTGTTTCTTTAACCATATTCAAACGTTTCTTTTTTAAATATTCTCTCTGGTAGATCCCATCATTTATTTTCTTAATTTTCACTTTGATCTTTTTCCTTTGATCAGTATCTTTCTTAATCAATGTGATTTGCTGAATCAAAAAGTTTTTCCATATATTCATGACTGCTGCTATAGGGATAAGAAGTAAATCGAATGTTTCTTTTTTTTTTTGTAGATGTAATGTCCTTAATTTATATAGCTTACTGTTTTCTACTATTTAATTGCTTTTCCTGAAAATGTAGAAAAATGGGATTTTTGTATGCTTTGTCCTGTTTTGAGAAACACTGTGTTAGTGCTTATTTCTGTAAAAAAAATAGGGCTGGCCACTAGGGGGCAGATTGGTTTTAAATTCAGAGAACAGCTACCCGTATATTCCGGCGTATAAGATGACCCCCGACTTTTGAGAAGATTTTCAGGGTTTAGAAAGTCGTCTTATACGCCGGAAAATATGGTAGTTGTTTTTTTAACTAGGCTACCACCTCTTGATTACCACAAATCTATTACTGTGTCTAGATCAGAGGTTACCAACCTTTCTCAGATGGCGGATCAGAGAGAAAGGGAGGGGGAAAGCATTTTAAACTCGAGTGCACGCATGGGGCCACGAGCATGCACATGATACTCGCTAGCCCTGCCCTGTTCTTGTGCGGTGCAGCACCCCATTTTCATGCCCCCAGCGCCATTTTTGTGCCCCGTGGCACAGCAGCATCCCAGTTATGCACCCTGCTGTGCAGCATCCCATTTTTACACCCCACAGCGCAGCATCTTCTTGTTTTTGCGCCCCATAGCGGGCAGCAGTCCATTTTTGCACCCCACAGCCAAGGCACTAGCGCAAATGGGTATGTGTGCCGTGGCCCACAGGTTGGGGACCCCTGGTCTAGATTACACGCAGCAGTACACACCCATGGAAATTAAGGTTGTGGCTTGTTCCTTGTCTTACAGGGCATGTTCCAAGAAATCAGTTTGGGAGGCACTACAAAACAGTTATTGGACAGTTTGGAATTGGAACAAAAAAAAGCTATTGCTATAGTACAGTGGTTCTCAACCTTCCTAATGCCGCGACCCTTTAATACAGTTCCTCATGTTGTGGTGACCCCCAACCATAAAATTATTCCAGGGTCATATGATAACCTTTGCAACCTTGTGACAAGCAAAGTTAGTGGGGAAACCAGATTCACTGAACAACCATGTTACTAATTTAATCTCTCTCCCTTTCTTTCTCTCTCTCCCTCTCTTTTTCTCTCTCTCCCTTTCTTTCTCCCTCCCTGTCTCTCTTCCTCTTTCTCCCTTTTTTCTCTCTCTCCCTGTCTCCCTTTCTCTCTCTCTCTCTCCGTCTCCCTCTCTTCTCTTTTCTCTCCCTCTCCTCTTTCTCTCTCTCCCTCTCTTTATTTCTCTTTCCCTCTTTCTCTCCCTCTGTCTATTTCTCTCTCCCTCTCAAAGATCCTTAAAATCCTTAAAAGTTATGCTTGGGTGGAAGACTTTTTCTTTTACAGATGGAGTGGGTGGGCCCGACATTCGTGGGCAGGCAGGACCCCGCCTGCCGAGCCACCGCCTCCCCATTACCCTCCATGCCAGCCGGCTCCCTTGCCAGACTTCCCAGCTGACAAGCTGGGTCGCCAGCTGACGGGCGCAGGACAGGGGGGAAGGGTTACCTGCATCCTGCCAGCCAAACTCTGGAAGCCTGCCTGAATGAAGAATTTTAGGGGGTGTTGAAGGGGAGACATACTGAGGGCTGTATTAAGACCATAGAGGGCTGCGTAAGGAGAGTGGAAGGGAGGCAAATTCGAGGTGAAGCAGAAAACATGGGGGGAAGGCATTAGGAAATAAGCACCAAGGTACATGGTGCCTTGCAAGGGATTCCTGAGTGTTCCACAATTGTTTTTCTTCTCTCCTCTGTGCGAGAAAAACTTTTGCAGTGTAAATCTGAAACCAGGTGTTCCTGTGAGGTGGCGCAGGAGGTCCTTGGGAGAGGTGAGGACAAGCTTGGCATTTCCTCTCTCCCAATCCCCTTCCTCTTCTTCACCCTCTTCCCCGGCCTGCCTGCGATCTGAGCTCATGGCTTTTCTTTGCCTAGCCTAGCCAAGCTTTCTTCCGCCCACCCCGTTCCCGGCAGCACCAAGGAGGTACAGCAGAAACACATGAATTGGGATTGTGGCACCCTTGGGAAGCTGATCATGCTTTGAACCTTAGGAGAGGAGGAGGAGTCCCTTCCTCCTTCCCTCCCTCTGTCCCTGTCAAGCCCCCGCGGGCTCGACATGAACGAGCAGGGGAGGGGTCGAGGACAACATGCGGGGTGGCAAAGGAGACCAGCAGCCAGCGCTGTTCAACCTGGCAGCGTGGGTGTCGGTTCCATGGGCATCCCGACCAACAGCTGAGCGGCTCCAACTTCTGGCCGCCGAACAGCTGAGTCCTCCGGGAGGCAACATAAGGCCCTGAGGGGTATCACAAGCTCGCTGGGAGGTGGGAAGGAAAAGAAGATGGAAGAGAGTGAGGCTGCAACAGTGAGAGCGATGTCTCAGTTCCTAAGACCATCGGAAATATGTGTTTTCCAATGGTCTTAGGTGACCCCTGTGAAAGGGCTGTTCGACCCCCAAAAGGGTTGCGACCCACAGGTTGAGAACCGCTGCTATAGTACATCAATTGATGCTTAGGATTATGGGATGTTGATTTTATTATTATTATGCATTAGCTTTCAGAGTAGATTTCCTGTAAAGGCTACATAAGAAAACATTTCCAGCCACTCAGGTTGTGAAGAAATCATCATTTTTATAAACTCTCAATGAAGCATAAACAAATTTCTCAAGAGAATACAGGTAATCCTCAACTTAGCACCATTTGTTTAGTGATCATTTGAAGTTACTACAGCACTGAAAAGGTCACATGACCCTTTCCCCACACTTGCAACCATTGTAGATTCTCCATGATCACGTGATCAAAATTCAGACACTTGGCAACTGGAATATATTTATGAGGGTTGCAATGTTCCACGGACATGTGATCATGTGACTTTGTGACAACAAAGTCAATGGCGAAGCCAGATTTCACTTAACAATTGTGTTATTAATTAACAACTGCAGTGATTCAGTTTAACACCTGTGGCAAGAAAAGCCATACGATGGGGCAAAACTCACTTAACAACTGATTTGCATAGCAACAGAACTTTTGGGCTCAATTGTGGTTGTAAATTAAGGACTACCTATACTTTCTAAGCTTAATTTAGTATCTGTAGCTGAATCACATCATTTTGACAATATAATCAATGTAATGAAAATACTATAGTAGTTATTATATTTCAAGTGATTTCGATGTTGTGACCAGTGGTGGGACTCAGCTGGTAGCTAATTTTTTGTTGACTTTGGTGAACAGGCTGAAGTCCTAGCTCTTTTTCGCAAGACCCAGAACGGACCACCGGAAGTGCATGGACACCAATTCTGGAAGTCCATTCTGAGCCTCGGAGGCCATGGGGAGGCCTCCCAGGCCCAGAATGGACTTTCGGAAGCGGCGTCTATGCAGAGAACCAGTTGTTCAGGTGTTTGAATCCCACCACTGGTAGTGACGCATCACTTGTAAATTCAACTCAACATCTGAAAGTTACCAAGGACCTAGTGAGCTGTCAATGAACCCTCAGAGAGCATTAATAAAGCCATTATCACATCAACATGTTCCAAAGACATTAGCTTAACCTGCTGATGTTGCAAAAATCAGACAATCCCAACATTTTTAGAAAAGAAAACCCCTCTCAATTCTGTTGGAAAGGTATTGCAATAACATTATTAAACTTGTCAAGCTAAATTTTAAAACTCTTATAGTAATTTTTATTACCAAAACAAAAGTATTTTAATATTTCAGTCTAAGAAATACTTTGCCCTGTTTAGCATTGTTTTGCATTTCTACATGTTTTAACAGTGTTTATTAAACATACCAAGATATTTTTCTATACAGAGGGGTCTCATTTATACAAACACTTCTTATCTTTTAAATTTAGAAGTGAATAATAGCGTGTATAAGAAATTAGTGTATATAAGTCAATAAACAATGCAAAAAAGCAACAAAAGTTACCTAAGCCTTCAGATTCAAAAAGATAAGTCTCATCCACTCCAATGCATCTACACCAATTCAGAAAGTTCGCTGTATTATCTCTGGCAAAGAAAGATCCTGAAGGAGCATCTTTTTTACAGGGGACTTTTCTCAGAGGGAAATTCTGGAAAGTAATAGATAAATTTTAACAGGAAACATTCCAAAACATTTTATCACAAAGGCTTTTTCTAGAGTAGAACCAGTAAGGAAAGTGGGGAGGGGGTTCCTTTCCCCCCAAAAAAAGATTACATTTCAAAAGAATCTCAGCTGTATATAAATAAGCAATGGGAAAATTTGTTTAAAATAGTACTGTTGAGGAGTTGGCTAAAAGGCAAAAAAGGCCACAAACTTTGTGGCATTCACTTTTAGTTGTCAGTTGACCCATTTACTTAGCTGAAAACATGGCTTGAAAGACTCTTCAAATATATATTACTGGGAAAAGGTACAAGAAGGGCAATAACATGTATCACATGATTATCCAAAACAAACCCTCCAGGATATTTATATCCAAAATACTAGTTCGGTATTTTAAAATTAGAACAAATCTGTCAGCAGCTTGAACATATGATTCACATTTTTCTAATGAATTTCAAGTCATGTACAATTTTAATCAGCAGACTTTCATCTTCCAAATTCCTTTTTCTTTTTAACGGAATCTAATATGAGGCTCAACTTTCATAGTACTCTGCACCATCTCAAGCTACTGTATGTACTATTTTATATGTTTTAATTCTAAGTGCATCTAATGTATAATCTTGGTCACATGACATTTAATTTAAAGAAAAATTGCAATTTTTTAAAACAAATGAACTTACTTTTAAATCATTTGAGTTACAAGAGCTTTTAACTATGTTTTGAATAACTCCAATCAAAATGCACAGGAGTACCCCATTATCAAGTTCTTCCAATAAATGCTCTGCTTTAAGTTCAATACCTATAGAAAAGCCATGATTTTTATTAGTAGAGAGAAGATAAAACTCAGACTGATAACCCAGATATTCATAAGCAAAGCTTCAACCTAAATCAATAGAAAATATAGTTTCTTTATTATTAAATTTACATGCTGCCTATCTCACTATTCAAAGCCTCTATATAATACTCCCTTTTATTGTGGTTTAACTCCAGTGGGATTGCGGCAATGTCCAAACTGATACAGAATGTCACAGATGTCATTCATATTTAAAGCACATGATATATTTTAAAATAATTATTTAAATTTCAAGTTGTACATTGGGCTGTAGTTTAAATTATACTAATTAGGAAAAATATTGAATCTCATACTGTTCTGATTAGTCAATGTTTCAAAAAAGCAGACATGCATTTTAAAATTGTTTAGGATAAGGCAGTATTATGTACTCTTAACAAATGACTAGACTTCTATAAAAGGAGAAACAGTAACATTAGCAGTTTTAATTTCTATCAGCATGAACTCTAAATCTAGCTCTATCCCTACATGTTTTTCTACAGTAATGAGATGGTTCTTCAAACAAACCCAACAAGCCAGATAGCCAGATAGCCAGATCCTCCTGCATAGGAATCAGAGTTGCCTCATGTCGGACAGATATCCATTGGTCATATAGTAAAACATCAGCCAGGCCAGGGCCATGCCTTGGAGTCAGTGGACTTCGTGGATTGATAGGTAAATCATCTCCAAACCACACCTAAGGTACATATTAACAAGACAGTTCGACTACAATTTCAGTACCATGTAACAACTGATAATATTTGCAATCCATTATCAATGTCTTTAAAAATGGAAAGTCCATTAACAACGAAACATACGGTCCCCCAATGATTCACTGTTATTTGGGACTACTTTAGCTCTATTAAAAGCTGTATTTGGCTTGTACAATCCATCTAGATTTGAACATTAAAACTATTGTCAATTATGTTCTTCAGATTCATATCAGAAAGTAGGAAATATGTAATAAATATAGCTGTAATATTTCAATTTGCCTACCTGAGCTGTATGTTGCATGGTAACTGGATGTTCCTAAGAATGGGAGGAAAAAAAGAGACTTTCAACTAAAAGTGACAAATTGCATTTTATTTTCATTCATTTATCTGCAACATTGGAAAGACAGCCGACAAATCAACAAAAAGTAAACCATTACTGATTATCCAAAATTGGGGCTGTACTTTATTTTCAATACTGAATATCTTTTTTTTAAACTTCATGTTCAGTATCTCCATAACAACATTCCATGTTTTTATATATCAAAAGTAAGTTAAATCATGTTGACAAATATGAGTAGAAAATCAAATGGTGCATTATAGTAGACAAGCCTAATTCACATGTGTAAATATTCTCTCCCATTTTACATTTCCAGCAAAATGAGATTGATTGCTAGACTGTTTCTGGAACATTCAATGAACATGAAAACATCCTCCATTAAAAAAATGTTTTAAAGATCTTTAGCCATTACTTTGTTAATGTGAGATATTTCAGCTCTATTTTTCAGAATTCTCGCAAATAACTAACATTCACATTAGCAATAACTTTCAAATAGTTTAAAAACGTGCTTGGTAATAAACTGATTAATACCAATACTTGCCCATGACTTTGCCCCAAAGTAATTGATCAACAATTTTCAAACAGGGATTACTACAAAGTGTAAAAATGGCACATGAATAAGAATTGAAATTGAAGTTGTTTTTCTTATCTGGAATGGTTGCCCTCTTTCACTAGACACGCAGCTTCCAGGGGGATGCAATGGGAGGAAAAGAGGCCACCCAGCCAGATCAGCTAAACCAACTCTTGCAATCAATGGGGTGACAGATGTCACAGAAAGATCACTCTCGTATCTATTCCTACTCAGTCACTTGAGTTCCATAAACAGATGTCAAATTACATACCCTGTTGTAAAGTTGAAATTTAGATACAGAAAATCTAAGCGTCAGTCCTTTCCATTAATATTATCAATTCTATCAATCTACTTAAAGTTAGTTAAAATGGTAGCATAGGAATAATTCTAAGTATATCAATATGAAATAACATTCATTGCTTGCACATTAGTTTCACATACATTTTAAACATTGTTTATATTTTTACATTTATCTCAGATTTTTTAAAAGTAGCTTCATATGAAGAATGTGTCCTCGACTTGCCAAAGAATAGAAAGAATTCAAACTGCAATTGAAATCTGAATTGTTACAAATTTCCATAGAAACGCTTAAAGTATATACGGTAAGTATACTTTAGTATAAAGTATATAAGACTTTAGCACTAAAGTGCTAAATTTTAAATTTAGCACTTTAGCAATATTAGTATGCAAGTGAATTATTTTCTATATGTGATTTGAAGATAATTTTAAAATGAAATTTAAAAGCTTTTTGTTCTAACTATACAGCAGGATTTGCATTCCTAAACAGTAATGTTCACAACATGGTTTTTTTTTTCTGTACAGAATTGATTATTCAGTTAATTGAACTGAATAATCAATTCTGTACGGAAAAAAAAAAAAACCACGTTGTGAACATTACTGTTTAGGAATGCAAATCCTGCTGTATAGTTAGAACAAAATGCTTTTAAATTTCATTTTAAAATTATCTTCAAATCACATATAGAAAATAATTCACTTGCATACTAATATTGCTAAAGTGCTAAATTTAAAATTACATCAAAATCTCAGTTTCTAGCCAGCTGGGAACACAGATCCTAAACAAATGCCACCATTTATTACTTGAACATTAGAAAACTCGTGTCCTCCTGATATTTCTCTCTTTTATAGTACACAAAAAAGGCAGAAAGTAGAACAAGTCTTTACTAACTAATGTATTCAGCTTCCCACAGTGAGTACCAGGGAATAAAGTTCATTTACATAAAAAGCTCTTTGTCTTAACAGTCCAAAGTAAGGGGCTTCACTGACATTTTAGAAGGGAAAAAATATGGTTGCAAAGGCTACCAAAAATACTGCTCTCATTAAATGATGGAACACTACACATTTGAACAAGGCCCTTAACAAGCCAACTACCACAGTAACAAAAATACTGCCCAATATTCAAGGCAGACGATCAGCTTGAACAAAGGAAAATATTCAAAAAAAGAACTATTAGAAGAATGTTCAGCATTTTCATTTTTCAAGAATGCCACACAAAGCCTGCCTATATTGGAAAAAAAACTGCACACTTGAAATAAAATGTCAGAAGATTTTTTATATTGGCTCACTTCATCATATTATATGTCTTTGGAATCAATTAAAATCCAATTGTGAAGCTCACAAAGGAGGGTCTACTCTGGGTGCATCGCAGGCCGAGTCTCAGCCTGCAGGGAGTGGGATCAGAGTGGGATCAGAGTACAAGCCCTTTAACGTGGGTGACTGGGTTTACCTATCCACCAAGTACCTACGTTCGGAGGTGCCCTGTAAGAAACTGGGTCCCAAGTATGTAGGTCCCTTCAAGGTGATTCAGGTCATAAACCCGGTAACTGTGCTGTTGCGGCTGCCTCAGTCCTTTGGGAAGGTGCACCCTGTGTTCCATGGGAGCCTGCTGAAGCCGGTGACGAATTCCCCAAGGGGGCTTGTGACCAAGCTGCCAGGCCCGTTTCTGGCGACCAGTTCGAGATACAGGAGATCCTAGATTCCCGGATCCGCCATGGATGAGTCCAATACCTGGTGAGGTGGAAGGGGTACTCTCTTTCGGAGGCATCGTGGGTGCGGAGGGAGGACGTCCATGCCCCACGACTAGTGCGGGCCTTCCATCACCAGCACCCTGGAAAACTGGGAGGTGGGAAGGGGCCAATAGAGTTGTCGCATGCTCACCTGTCTGTTTGCCTTCTAGGAGGGGCCCTGGTAGAGGGGGCCACCTGTCAAGCCCCTGGGCTTGCCATGGGCCAGGAGATGGGGAGCACGCAGCCAACAGCCAACCGACGTCCCTATGGGGGCCTTGAGCACCACCAGACTCCCAACAGTCAGCTGGGAGTCGGGTCGGCTTTCGGCGGAGAGCCGGTAGGGCCGCTACACACCGCCCAGCTCCCGACAGCCAGCTGAGAGTCGGGCCGGCGTGCACACATCAGCTGGGAGTCAGTGGAAACACCATGCGCCGCCCGACTCCCAAAGATTGGCTGGGAACCGGCCCAGCCTCCGTGTGTCGGCCCGGCTCCTGGGAATCAGCTGGGAGTCGGCCCGGCTCCCTGCCAGCAGCTGGGGGTCGGCATGGCCACCAGATGCCGCGGGTGCCTCCCTCCAAGGAGCCAGACGCCGGAAACATTCCCACCGCTGGCTGGACATTTGGGCTAAGCAAGCCGGATGAGGGGGGGATTATACCTCACCTTGGCTGCCTCTCCCTCCCGCCGGGCACAGTGGGGAGGAGGCAGAGTGCTGCCTGGTTGCCTTGAGAGAACAGTTGGAACAGCAGAGGCTACGTGGGTGCGTCTGGAGGGGGGGAATGCGGACATTGAAGTGTGCCTTTTATCCATAGGGACCGGATGCTGGCTTGCTGATTGGGGTGGGGTTGGTGGGTGGGGCACATCTATGTAAAGCACTGGGAGCAGTTCACTCCCAGTGCGGACTTTTTCTTTGCATTAAGGTTTGCTGTTACCTGTTCCTTCTGTGTCTGGAGTTTGTCGATAGCTAGCAGAGGACAGCTGACAATGGCTAGAATTTTACTTTTCACATTTCAGATTTATTAGCTAGATTCACAGTTAAACTGTAAACTGACTGGTTTTTATGGAATAAGCTACAGTGTTTCAGATCACAACTGAATAGGCCAAAACAGAAATCTCATTACAGCCCAGTACAGGTAGTCCTCGACTTATGACCATAATTGAGCCCCAAATTTCCATTGCTAAGTGAGACCATTGTTAAGTGAGTCTTGCCCCATTTTATGATCTTTCTTGCCACAGTTGTTAAGTGAATCACTGCAGTTGTTAATACCATGGTTAAGTGAATCTGGCTTACCCATTGACTTTGCTTGTCAGAAAGTCACAAAAGGTGATCACATGAGCCTGGGACTCATAAATATGAATCATTTGCCAAGTGTCCAATGTTGCAATGGTCATAAATGTGAAAAATGGTCAGAAGTCACTTTTTTCAGTGTCATTATAACTTTGAATGGTCAGTAAACAAACTGTTGAAAGTGGTGGATTACCTGTACAATGTGGCTTGAATTTTCTGGCTGAATGGGACCTTTTGTAAACTATGTTTCAGGGCTTAACTTGTTTGAATCTATCAAATTGTGATTTATTCAATAATGCATAGTTGAACATTAGTCTTTTCTACACAGCTTGTTTCAGTAATCATATTCTTTGTTTTTCAAATCAAGATTTGGAGGATTGGAAACAAATAAGGAGTGTGTACATGCTTTTTCACCCTGTTCCCCCCCCCCTTTGGCCTTTATAGAAGACTTGCAAATCACAGATTTATAGTTCAATAATCACAGGAAATTGTGGTTTAAGAAAATCAGGAAGTCTTCTATGGGAAAAAAATAAGAAGAAAAAAGATATACAAGTATTAAGTTTGTTCCTTGTTCTCTATCTTTCACAAAATGGTTGGAGAATTAGGAATCTGATGTCTGAATACAAAATACATCTCAATTCACATATCATAGCCATTGTGATTGGTAAATCGTGGCTTATGATGACATTACATAACATTACATTACAGCCTACATGGTTTGTTTAACCAATTCTAATTAAAATAAACCACGGATTAAAATATATAAACCCAGTCATAATATTATCCTGTGCATATACTTGAGTGGAAATGCTACTGAATTCAGTGAGCCCAACTACAAAGCAAACGGGAACAGGAATGAGCTGCACATGATAATTTCAGATAATAACTACCTTGTAGAATTCAACTAAACCTTTTAAACAGTATTAGAACATTGCAAGAGATGCATATTAATTTCTGGTACAATTAAAATACTAGCAATGACCTTTCAGGATCAGAAAAAATACTTTCAGAGGAGTCTTTGTCTTAACTATTATTTCAATAATAGGTAGAAAAAGGAAGAGGACATTTAGACAGTTAAACCATCAAAATTATCTTTCCAAAAGAAACACTTCTTAATCTTCTGAGAGTTAATGAAAAACATTTTTTAAGAATACATGGCTTTCAATATTTTATTTGTTCTTGTGAGACCCTTCCTACTATTCACACTTTATAGTTTAGCCTTCAAATTGTAAACTGAAAGAATATTTTAAATTATTTGGGATTCACATCTTTGAACCTCTAGGACAGAATGCAAAATATAGTTTTACAACCAAACAACTTCACTCATTTGCTGGGGATGCTGCAGTTATAGTCAGGGATGAATGCTTCATCCTCAAGTGAATTATTACAGAAACCATATGTAAAATCATATACCATTATGTATGAGACCATAGTCACACGCCTTATAATTGCATCCCCTTTTAAGGTTAATATATAAATCTGTAATTAAAAAAAGTATTTATAAAACCTATACTCTACTGCAGTTTATGTTATAATCTCAGTAATTTATGGTTTCCTTACACCAGTATGTTTCAAACTTCATGCTGGCTGGGGAATTTTGAGAATTGAAGTTCACATATCTTAAACTTGCCAATCTTGAAAAATGCCATCTTACATCATTTGAAAATTACTAGAAGACCACATAACCTTTAATTCAGAACTTGCGAACTCCAAAGTCAGCCAGGTTAAGAAACAATTTGCCACAGGCTGTTATATTATGTCAAGTCATTTCATTGTTTTTGAGTCTCGGTATTTTGATTATTCGTGCCATTGGCAAAATGCAATAAAAAGTCAGTTTAGCTGCTATTTCAAGTTTTCCCCAACTTGGTGCCCTGTTGGACTACACTCCTATTTCCCAAAAAATACCTGCCGGAATGAGGGCTGTAGTTGCAGAAAGCCGTTTCGCCGGGCTAGAAAACCGCTGGTCAAGACTGTATGTGCGTCACTGCAACAGAAACCAAGCGCCGAACTGATTTTCTTCCCCTTTTCTGGGTAAATGGCGAGCACTTTTCCATAGCCCTATCCCAGGGAAACAAGGAAAGAAAAACCCTCAAGAACATTAGCGCCTTAAGGTTAAGGCAACCCATCCCCTATATGGCATGTGGAACTTAGAGGCTCTACTGAGCAATAAACAACCAACCACGCTTCACTCTAGTAGGTTGTGATCGGTCCCAAATCTGTTTGCTGACCCTTGGGGACCTACTGCGTTTCAGCCAGGAGAAATCACACATCAATCAAACGCTCTGCTATCCATCGGGGAAACTTGGGGGTACTTACGGGAAACCCCGGAGTCAGAACCCCCCACGCATCCCCTGCCGGGGAGCACACGCGAAATTGCGGCAGCGGCAGGGAATCCTCTCGAGCTCCAGCGCTCCGTGATTCATTTGGCCGCGTCCGCCCGCACAGTTCGAAAGGCCCAATCAGCTGACGCGAGGCGGAGCCCAGGCCGACGGGGCGGTGGGGGCGAGGGAAGGGAAAGTGAGCTTTCGGGTTGGATGGATCCCCTGCGGCGTCCGGAGCGAAAGGTTGGGTGGCGATGCTGGTGCTCAGGGAGGATTCAAACGGAAGGGGGATGCAGCGGTCATTGGGGGGGGGGGGGGGAGAATCCTGCTGTCGTTAGTATCAGGTGACAGTCACCAAGGATTATTATCTGGACCGAGTGTTGGTATCTCCTCAGCTGAGAAATAAGGCAGAGGACATGCGGCAAGAGAGGCAGCTCTTGCTAAGTTTTTGCCTATCACTACAGCCTGCTTTGGACTCAGGGCGCGGGTGTTAGGATTTAATCCTCCTCTGTATGCTTTGGGGGGGGGGGGGAACCTAAGCGGTTGCAACACCCAGCAGCCCTAACTAGAAAAGTCAGTGTGGAGGCAGAGAAATGGATCAGAGGCATAATCAGAGGTTCCTTATCCTTTCGTATAAAGCATATTGCAACACAACGCTACAGAATTCAAACAACTAGTTTATGCCTGTGTTTGCCAGGCATAAACTGTAAGCCTTGGTTAACAAATGCATTGGATAGACCGCCGTGCAATACAATATTGTATGCTGTATCATGTATTGCTAGAATCAGGGCTTTTTTTCTCATAGAACGCCCAGAACGGAGTTCCGGCACCTTTTTTGGATGGAACCTTGTAGGGTAGGCAAGACAAGTTGTATGACGTGTATGAGTTCCGGCACCTTTTTTTTTTTTTTTTTAGAAAAAAAGCACTGGCTAGAATCATTGTGTTAAATTATTACATGGTGTTATCTCTTTGGCTTACTTTGGTTGTGAACTCAAGTGTTGTGGTTTGTTAACGATGATTGATAGTTTAGTGAACTATATAAACAGACGGCGCAGCCTACCTAGAACTCACTATTCTAGATGGACAACGCTTTTGGGCTTCTTTAGAAAGACAGAATAAGTGGTTATTTTATATAGGTTTAGTTTTTTATTTATTTTTATATTGTCTACTGTTTTTGTTTTAATTTACAGTAAGGGTTACTTTATTATAAGTTTATACTGAAAAAAGTCAACTCATTTTTGTACTTTTTTCTTTTCTCTTGTCATTTTTAATTCCCCCCTTGTTCCCCTCCCCCTTTCTTTTAATCTTTTTTTGTTTTTGTTAATTTGTATTTTATCTTTTTTAAAAACTTAATAAGGTTGCTTTAAAATAACTTGTGGCCCAAACCAAATGATTCCTTGCCCTCTGCTTTGACAAAGCTAACCCACAGCAGGATTTAATTTAGCATACAGTGGGAAAAAGTCATCGTAGTGTGCCTCAACCCTAGTCTGCAGGTTCTGTAAATCTGTACAGTTGTGAGTTGGTTGAAAAGTATGATTAAGCAACCAATAGTGTAGTAATGCATGTGGACCAACTTGGCCGCTGTTATGAAACAGAAAAGAAATATTTTTCATTTAAGAGGGGTCAGCACTGATTCTAACCATCCTGAGTACACACATTGTATTATGTATGTATTGAGTTAATTTATCTAATAGGAGAAAACTGTATTCAACTTTTTCTTCTTTTCTATCTAAAATAACAGGTTTAAATAATCAATTGGCATATTTGTGGTACCTCCTTTGATAGGCAACTAGATCTATATTTCCTTTAAGGGTATTTTTATATTCACAGAAAAACTGTCCTTCACCGGTCTATGAACACTGCCTTTGATAGTTATTCTTCTCCGCGGAAAATAGGAAATTCTGATTCTTTGAAATTATGCTCTCCCCAGTGCTCAGTAAGTCTTTGAGCCAATTCCCAGTTTGGAAAGCTGAATCAATGTGTCTCTTTGAGTGTGAAACTGTTTACCAAAGCAGGGAATGGAAGGTTGGCTGTCTTCTGATTCACAATACGAAATCTCTGTACTGTCATCTGTTGTTCAGGCTGCTTTTGAATATGGTTTTCTGGTCTTCTGAACTAATGCTGAACCTATATATATATATATATATATATATATATATATATATATATATATATATATATATATATATTTACCTTGAATGAACACCCTGTCAGCCCAAATATGGGAGGAAGAAATCTTCTTTCTTTTCTTTTCTTTTTGCAAAAAGAAAAGAAAAGAAAGAAGATTTCTTTCTCCCATATCTGGGCTGACAGGGTGTTCATTCAAGGTAAAAATCTCCTCCCCCTGTCTCTCTCCTGATAGCTAACAAAGTGGGAGAGAACCCGTGGCTTAGAGGTTATAACATCTGCCTAACATGCAGATAGCCCAGGTTCGAATCTCAGAAGAGTAAGTTTGGCTGATGAGGGTTAAAGGAACCCGAAATAGCTATACCATTCTCTCTTTATTCTTTGTTAGCAAAACCTAAAAACCTATATATATATATATATATATATATATATATATATATATATATATATATATATATATATATATATAGCAATGTAAGCAAAATAAAGATATTCAGAACAGCGCTCAGTCAGTGTCCAAAATTACCAGCCAATAGTCAAACTTCTTCTGAATGCATTTGTGCAAAACTGGAACAAGATTTGAAAGATGTCTGACCTCATCTGTCTAATCATCCTCCCAGCCTTACTCTATATCAAGGGTATCAAACTCGCAACATCACGTGGCATGTTGTGATGTATCGCGACTTTTTCCCCATTGCCGGCAATGGGGTGGGCGCGGTTTTGGCGTGATGCATCTGGCCTGCCGGCTGGCAGTTTGACACCCCTACTCTACATTAAGGAGAATTATTGGTGCATAGTTTTCCCATGAGATGGTGATATTTGGTAAGAAGTGAGGGAGCCCATAAGTTTGTCTTTAATATGACTTGTATATAAGATCAGCAGCATTTGCCAATATTGTACCTACAGCAGGATAGATAGTGTGTTTTATGCAGGTATAGTTTCCAATAGTTTATGGCTGATAGATAGCACTTCAGCTTGGCTATGATAAATATTTATCCATTTATCAATTGATAAATAATGGTTTATAATGAACAAAGATGGAAATAAAGAGAATAAATTGTAGTATATCATTTTAATTTCAAAAGAAATAACAGGAACTTGCTTCAGGCAAGTAGAAATGTACTTTTGTTTCAAGGAATTTAAGAACCATGGCAAATATTCTATGTAAACAGACACAAATGTAAACTTCAATGAAAATGATTTACTATGAATTATTTTAAGTGCTTTAAGAGAATATTTACAATACAAAAACTCTGAATGAATACACTGATGTTATGGATTCAAGTCTATTGTCCCAGCTAACTTAGTTTAGGATCCAGTAAAGTCCAGGTTTATCACTGCACATCCCATATTTCACAAAGAAGAGGTGTGAATTTGTGATTGTTAACTCTCCATGACATCAACATATCTGCATGATGGTGGTTAAAAGTCCGTAATTCTGTAAGACGACCGAGGAGACAAGCAAAATGTTGAGGACTATCTGTGTGATGAAGCTTGCAGAATGTTTGCAGAACTTCAAGCAGAGGCTCTTGAAGCCGTTCAACAGAATCTCTATCCTTTATGTATTGCCGATCTGGTTTTAATTTTCAAGGAAGATGGGGAATAATAATAAGCATTATTTCATATATGTAAATTATGAAGACCAAAGTGTTCCAATTGCAAGTGAAATACATCATTTCTCTATTTATAGGCTATTTTGTTCCCATATATTTATTGTATGCAGAATTGCTTGTCTGTAAAAAGTTGCAGTGTTGATGGGATTAGTTTTACTTATTAGCTTGCTTGATACTACAGTATTGTTTATAGAGAAAGTTGCACACCCTGATTCTGAGATAATAAAAATAATTCAAATTCCTATTTATCTCTGTTATGCAAAGATAGTAAAAACAACTCTGGAATACTTTGCCTGCAGTAGAGCTGGCGTCTCTTTCCTTAGAAAGGCACTCAAATTTTTTATTCTCACAGGCCTTTGGCTCAAGTATTATATTAAACATTGCTTCATATTTTGTTCTTATTAGTGGTATTTTTTGTACTTTTGCTTCTTGCCCATAACCTTAGCAATGGTAGAAGTATACAAAATCAAAAATAAATGTGAGTGTGTGTTTTAATTGGTTTTGTTATATTCTTGCTTCAAAAACGAGGTTACAATCTTATCTCTTTGAGATTTTAATTTAAAAACTATCCCATGCCTACAAAAATTAGAGAATTAAATATTTTTTCATTCAAATTCTATTTTTATTTTCTTGGTTTCTGCCTTTAAAGATGGGTCAGGTTGGCCATTTCTAGAGACTGAGAAAAAAACAGGCAGTCTTTGACTTATCTTATGACCACAATTGATCCGAAAATTTCTGTTTTTAAGTAAGATAGTTGTTAATTGAGTTTTGTCCCATTGTATGACTTTCTTGTCACAGTTGTTGCCACAGTTGTTAAGTGAATTACTGCAGTTATTAAGATAGTAGCACAGTTAATAATAATAATAATAATAGTAAAGTTGGAAGGGATCTTGGAGGCCATCTAATCCAACCCCCTGCTCATGCAGGAAATGCTATACCATTTCAGACAAATAGCTGTCCAATCTCTTCTTAAAACTTCCAGTGTTGGAGCATTCACCACTTCTGGAGGCAAGTTGTTCTACTGGTTAATTGTTCTAACTGTCAGGAAGTTTCTCCTTAGTTCTAGGTTGCTTCTCTCCTTGATTAGTTTCCACCCGTTGCTTCTTGTCCTGCCTTCTTTGTGGCAGCCCCTGAGATATTGGAACACTGCTATCATGTCCCCCCTCGTCCTTCTCTTCATTAAACTAGACATACTCAATTCCAGCAGCCGTTCCTTATATGCTTTAGCTTCCAGTCCCCTAATCATCTTTGTAGCTCTTCTCTGTACTCTGTCTAAAAGAGTCTCAATATCTTTTTTACATTGTGGTGACCAAAACTGGATGCAGTATTCCAAGTGTGGCCTTACCAAGGCATTGTAAAGTGGTATTAACACTTCACGTGATCTTGATTCTATCCCTCTGTTAATGCAGCCTAGCACTGTGTTGGCCTTTTTGGTAGCTGCAGCACACTGCTGGCTCATATTTAGGTGATTGTCCACTAGGACTCCGAGGTTCCTCTCACAGTTACTATTATTGAGCAAGATACCCCCTATACTATACCTGTACATTTGGTTTTTCTTGCCTAAATGTAGAACTTTACTTTTTTCACCATTGAATTTCATTTTGTTAGATAGTGCCCAGTGTTCAAGTCTGTCTAGTGAATCTGGCTTCCCTGTTGACTTTGCTGTCAAAAGGTTACAAAAGGGACACTGCAAGCAACATACTTAGGGATCATAGAAATCCTCTGGTAGGGTATGTATTAGGGGGGTACAGTGTTAGAAGAAGAAAAAGGATTTAGGTGCGTTCATAACAGATGACTATAAAATGGGCAAACTGTGGCCAGGCAGCTGTTTAGGGAAACAAAATTCTGGGATGCATCACTAGAGGGATCACCAGCAGGAAAAAGGAGGTCCTAATCCTACTGTACAGGGCTTTGGTCTGACCCCATTTGGAATACTGTGTCCAGTTCTGGAGATCTCACTTAAAAAAATATATTAATAAGATTAAGTTCAGAGATGGGCAATAAAAATGGTGCAGGGTCTGAGAGACAAAACATATCAGGAGAGATTGGAGGAGTTGAGTATATACAACCTGGAGGACAGAAAGGAAAGGGGGGCATTACTGAAGTATTTAAATATATTAAGGGTGGGAATAAAGTTCTAGAAGGCAGTATGTTCAAAATCAAGAACATGGCATAACTTCAAACTGACAGGAGAGAAGTTCAAAAGTAATGTTAGAAAGTATTACTTCACAGGAAAAGTAGTGGAAACTTGGAACCAACTTTAGAGCAGAGTAGTGGGTCAGTCATCAGTAACTAAGTTTAAACATGCTTATGATAAACATGCATCGTCTGACAAAAATAAAAAAATAAATTTAAAAAATTCAAAGGGCAGACTCAAAGGGCCAGTAGGCCTTTTTTTGTCATGAGTTTTATATGTTTCTGTATTTCTAAATACATGCTAGTTGTCAAGCATCTGAATTTTGATCACTTAACCACAATGTGGTCATAAACGGTCATAAGTCACTTTTTTCAGTGCCGGTTTTGAATAGTCATTAAATGAATGTTTCTAAGTCAAGGACTACCTGTAACACAAATCCCACTAAACTCAGAGATTTCTTTTAGCTAGCCTCCTACCATTTTATGCTGCTAGTGATCAGAATTATTAATGCAACTTAACAGCTATGATATTAAATTTGTACTCGCTATTATGAATATGTGTTTGAAATATTTGGCCATAACTGTACTCCAGGGAAAAATAAATGCTTAGATACCTGCCTAGTATGGAGGGAAAGAGTTAAGTCTTCTACCTGCACTAGAATTCTAAATACCAACCCTGGAGGATGCGGTCTAATGTAATATGTAGTTTGTCTTTTGAATGTAAAAAAAGTTATTTGAAACATTTAATTCAGAAATGTCTATGATTAAACAATTGTATCTTAACATTTGTAATCTTAAAACAGTGTAGAATTTTACAGGTTACTTTCCAATGCCTTCCTTCTAGTAGAATGCTAGAAAGAAATATTGTTCACAGCAGTGCACATTTGGACCACATTTGGTATGAGGAGAGAAGCTGGTGAAAGACTGAATTTAAAAATGGGTCAGATTTAGGCAGGGGGCTTCAAAAAGGGCCCGAGAGAGGTCCTTGAGTGGTCCTTGGAATACTGCTGAGTGCTCCATTCTAAGCCATCTTCTTTGCATGAACAGAGGAGGAGAGAGCATTTGGACTATATTTCCCATGCCCATACATGCACATATGGAGTGCGGCAAAGTGCACACATAGGCAACAGATATGCACTCACTCTAGAAATATTTGGTCAACATACTTTCATAATAGTTACCATTTTTATATAATAAATTAGCATTCTTTTTTTCATGCCTCTTTCCTTTTTTCTTCAAATTTGGTAACATAATTCAGTATTGACAGTCTAGATCAGGGTTTTTCAAACTGATGTGCCCTAGGGTTCTGTGGTCTGAACAACTTTAAACAATTGAGAAAATGAAATTACCTGGTGATAAGATAACGATTGCTGTAAGCAGAGCATATTCTTCTTGTGTCATCTTGAGTTCCCCAATACTTTTATAAAAATGAAACATAGGTGTTATGTATTCATCTGAGATACCTATAAGACAATGTGGAAAAGCAGATTCTTATAATAGAATTATGTGGCAATCTATGGTAATTAAAATTCAGACAATTTAACACCCAAGTTATGCAAGAGCCTGAAAATCAACAAAGATAGAAATTACTGCATGAAAATCCTTTTACTTAAAAATAACCCTCCTTCTCTAATTCCATATCAGATCTATTTCCCTTTGTTTTTATTTTTGTTTTTTATTGTTTCATTATAGGATGGCTGTATGCTATTTTATTCACAAGAGGGCACTATTTTCCTGTATAACATAAATTCTAGCACCAATTCTGCAAATCTCATAAATAAATATCAGTTTATAAATGCATTCTATATGCCTTCCTTCAACTGAACTCAAACTGTAAAATAGATCAATGCAGCAGATTATTAATATTATTTGCAGTCATCATTTTACTGTCAAAATTCTTCTATTAATCAGAAATGGGGAAACCACAGCCCTGTGGCAGAATTTTAGCTCCCAATATCTTTTGCCATTGGCCATGCTGATTAGGGTTACTGGGAGTTTTAGATCAACCACATATGGAAACGTCCTACTGTTGATCTATTTGAAGAGTTGATTAGTACATGTTTAATTTGAATATAGTTGAAACGGTGTATCACTAGTGACCTATACACAATAGGGTTTTTTTGTTGCAATATCTTAAATATATTTTGGGGAGCTGAATCTTGTTTTGTTTTGAAGTGTATACATAGACATCCCATTATTGCACTCCTTAATTTCCAAGAACCATACAGGTAGTAGAGAAACATTTCATATGAAATTCCCAGGAAACAATATGGGAAATTGAGCTCAAATCTAGATGTGCAGGTTTAACTGGATGTTGAATCACTCTTCATATCTATGCATAATATTTCCCTGCTACATAACTATCTTAAATTCATTTCAATATGTGAAATTATAGGGAGGTTTTCATTTTATCTGCACAATAACAAATTGAAACAGTATAACAAAACAAACATAAAGCCTGAAATATTTTCCTCATTGGTTAAAAAAAATCAGCAGTAGTGTATTAAAATTTCTTGAACTTTTGACCAAGATCAATTGTAGCTTTCGTGTACTTTAAATAACCATTCTATGCTCATAGAAATCAGCTCATAATATCCTGTAGGTATATTTCACTGATTGATTATAAGGAATAGCTGTTTATAGGTGTTTAGAAAATAATAAATAATCAAGTACTAAATAGACTGGAAACATTTCATGCTGGAGCAATTAGACAAGACAGATGTGAATGAACTTCAGATATCAGGGACCTTTATGTCTGAGCAATAGCAATAGCTAACTTCAGAATGAAGGAGTTTCCATTTCTTAAGCAAATATTTAGCAATAGCACTTAGAATTATATACCGCTTCACAGTGCTTTACAGCCCTCTCTAAGCGATTTTACAGAGTCAGCATATTGCCCCCAACACTCTGTGGTCCATTTGACTAGTCAAGCTGTGAGATGGGTAGGACGTGAGGTCTAAAGGGCCTTCCAATCAAAGAAAGGGCACAGCTACCCCACAAAAGGAAGGCCTTTTGGACCATATCTGCAACATACTCTGAGAAGGAGTTGTGACACTCCTGAATTTTGAGAACATGATTATATGGGTGCTGCAACAACGGTTACTTCAGGCACAGGTCCTAAATCCATTCAGAGTATCATAACTGAATAATTGCTGAAGAAATAGTCATAAGCTGAGGACTCAATATTCTTTCTGTGTTTATTCTTTTCTTTTTAATGATTTTGATTTTATATTTCTTTATCAGATAAAACTTCCATCTAGAGGGAGTTTCCATTCTTGAAGTGACTTGTGTTGTTCCATATGAGAAAATATTTACTATGAATCAAGTAAAATACAATTTCTGAAAACTTTATGATATTATTTTAACAGCTTTACCCTTTAGGTCAGACATGTCAAACACAAGGCCCGGGGGCCGGATGCGGCCCGCAACGTGGTTACATGTGGCCCGCAAAGCCATCCTGGAAACAGTGAGGGAATAGCCCCTGCTGCCTTGGCCCTGGCCCAGGCCGCCTGGGAGCCAATGTACAATTTTGTGGTGGCCAACTATGCTGAAACGCATTCAGTCTTAGCTCCCCAAGACCGTCTGGAAACAGCAAGGGACTGGCCCCTGCCGCATTGGCCCCACCCCCTAGGTGCGTGCTGGGGAGATGTCACCCTCTGTGAGGAATGAAGAAATGCACCATCACCTGGAAGTGGCCAGCAAATGGCCCTCGTCTACTTCACATATCTGGCTTGATGGGCTTCGGGGGAGGGGTTTCAGCAGACAGTGGGGCGCTGTCCTCACAGCTCCGAGAGGCTGAGCCAGGTGGTGCAAATCCCAAAAGAAGCACGATGCCGCTCAGCCCCCAGCCTGCCCGATTTCAGCAGGAAGCAAGGTGTAAAGCTGGCGAGCTTCGCACTGCCTGGCTCAGCCTCTCGGCACTGTGAGGAGAGCACCCCACTGCCTGCCAAAACCGGGCAGGCTGGGGGCTGGGTAGTGTCGCACTTCTTTTCGGATTTGCGCTGCCTGGCTCTTCCTTTCAGCACTGTGAGGAGAGCGCCTTGCTGCCTGCCGAAACCAGGCAGGCTGGGGGCTGGACGGCATTGTGCAGGTAACGTTGACTCTCACATTGCTCATGGCATCCCCTCCCCCAAAGCCCACCAAGCCAGATATGTGAAGTAGGTGAGGGCCATGTTCTGGCCACTTCCAGGTGATGGTGCATTTCTTCATTCCTCATGAAGGGTGACACCTCCCCAGCTGCGTTTCTTGCCTGTTTTTCTCCCTCATCTCAAATATTTTCCCACCAGTCTGTTCTTGAAGGAAGGAGAGGAACAGTGAGGGTCTTCCAGTGGACCATGCCTTGGCGCTTGCCCCGGTCCCACCCTCTTCTGCCAGAGACCCTCAGATCTGTCTCACTCCTTCTCAGGCCCCCACAGGCACCCTTGACGTGAACGATGTAGAGCTGGCTATGCCCACCCAGTAGGCCACACCCACTCCATCCACACCCACCCAGTAGGCCACTCCCACCCTGGCCACACCTACTCAGCCCCCCGAGGACAACCGCAATGCTGATGCGGCCCTCAAACTCAAAATTGAGTTTGATACCCCTGCTTTAGGTGAATGGTAGATTCAATTGGTACTTGGTTATTGGTATAATTCAAAATTTATGTCTGTTTTCAGACAATTCTTTATTGTACATCCTGTTTTAATTTCCATTGTTCAGCAATAAGCATTCACTTTAGATGTTTAAATTAAAAGAAGAAAAACAGCTTTCAGGAAGGTGGTTTGGAGCTAATTAATTATAACTACGACAGTTGTTAATATGGATGAAGAGATCTTTACTTTGGATAGGCTTGAAGCTGCCAGTAGATATTAAATCAAAATGTAAATTAGCTCCTGTATTGCTGAGAAGTAAACACACATTAATTACTCATACTGTTTTACCTCATTCACGTATCTTATCTATTCAAAGTATTTTCTTAATTCCAAATCTTTCATTAGAGTCTTTAGTTTTTCTGAAAGCTTTCACTTATTGCATTACTCAAGAAACTGTCCATTGCTACCAGTATCTGCCTATCTAGCATGTAATTCAAGAAAGTTCTTTCTGTTGGGAAAATAAAAAACACTGAGTAAGTGCCAGTATTTTCTGAACTGATTATTTTTCATCTAAGAGAGTCTCTTTTTTAAAAAAAAAAATATATTGTTAATTTATTCCTTGGGGTTTTCCACCTGGCTTCTAGTTGCACTAGTTGTAGATATCCAGATTTTTTTTTGATCCAAATAATTAATCCTTTTTTAAAATGTTTTTCATGACCTCTTTTGGCTTTTGGAATTTTATGGAATAGATTTTAGTAGCGCTATTTGTGTATTGAAATCTTGCAATCTGCCTTGAAAGAGTTTGGAACTGTAAACCAGAACAAAATCCAATAAATACAATTCCACTGCCAAATTATGGTTTTCAAATATGGTATTTGCTTTGGAAATGCATTGATTTTAAAAGCAAATGCACAAAGCTGCATTGACATTCTTTGCAGCTAAAATGCATGACTATAAATGAGCATTCAGAATTATAAAAAAAAAGACATTTAAAATGCAGTTACTAATGTTACATCTTCTTTTTGCCCATCCCCATGAGTTAGTTTGAGTTTAATGAACATTAATGGAAACTGATCAATAGCATGGACAATGATAGCATATGCTTCTGTCCATGAAATAAAGAGGAACTATTAGGTACTGAACAAAAGCAGGTGAGAGTATTGCTGCTAGATAGAAACATTTTTAATCTAATATTTATGTAGAAGAAGTCAGGGCTATTTCCAATAGCTCTCACAAGCTATTTGGCCGTTAGTCTTACCACCACCGCCACCATCCATACAGTAGTGCCTTAAGAGAAGGAAGCTATATCAGAAAGGTCACCACTAAGCTTCTTTGTCACATAGAGATCCAAAATGCAACAACTGTCTAGATGAAGGGGATAACTGCTAACTGTTAAGGGAATTCAGAAGCCTGAATTGTGGCAGGTGACAAAAAAATGAACATCTATTGGCATATTTATATTTTCAGTTTTTGTTGCTGCATTTCACTGATGTGAACAATAGGAGCTATCTGACAACTTGACGTTCACTTTCACATAAAAATAATCTTAACAAGCCACAGAAATGATCCTCAAGATTTTGTTTTTCTGTCAGAAGAAGTTCATATTTGTTACACATTTTAAATACACCTAGTTATAGTGTGTAGTATGCATTCATTAGAATGTGCAACTACGTATTAAAACCCCTCAACCCTTAGCTATAATTCTTAAGAGAATTTCAACAACCTGTCTTCAAAAAAACAAGAACAAGATATATAATACATTAACCCAGAATACAAATACTACTAAAATAATCTGATAGTAAAATGCTATATACTATATTAATTCTTGGACATATATTTAATATAAGTAATCCCTGAGTTATGAGCATTCACTTAACGCTCGTTCAAAGTTACATGATGAGCGCCCCCTGGTGCTTACAAGCAAGTCCCAAAGTTACGAATATTGCAGCACCACGGCAGTCGTTCGCCCTTACAAGCAACTGTACTGGCTCTGCAACATTCACCTGGTTATTCCCTCCCTCCCCATCCCCATCCCGGGTCTCCCTAGGCACCAGGCTTTCAATACTCACCCTGCCAAGTTTGAGATCCTTCGCTTTCTTGGCTGATCCAGGCCTTTGGTGTGTTTGCAGAGAATGGAGGCCTAAAGTAATGCAAGATCATGTGAGATCAGTGGGGTGAGATCTCACGCAACTGATCTCATGTGATCTCATGGTACTTTAGACCTCTGTTTTCTGCAAAAGAGGATGGAACCGAAACTGGGGGATGCTTTCACATGCCTCTGCAGGCTGGATCAGGGCTTCGGAGGCCTTTTGCAGGCCCCTTCTGTCCAGATTTGAAGCTGAGGAACACTTCCGCACTTCCTCTGTGGTCTGATCCGGGCTCCAGAGACCTTTTCCAGGCCGTTACTGCTCGGATTTGAGGCTATGGAACACTTCCACACACACCCCCCATGGCCCAATCTGGGCTCCAGAGGCATTTTCCGGGCCTGATAGGGCCATGGGGGACTGCAGAAGTATCTGCCAGCCTCAGATCTGGGTGGCAGTGGCCTGGAAAAGGTCTCTGGAGCCTGGATGGGGCCACGGAGGGGGTGCAGAAGCATTCTCCAGCCTCAAATCTGGGTGGCAGCAGGAACTGCGGCAGAGAGGAGATGGATCTTTTCCAGGTGAGTACGGCATGGCAGAAGGGAGGGGGAAGCATGCAGTACGGCATGGGGCCACGGGAGGGCACAGAAGCATTCCTCGGCCTTAGATCTGGGGGGCAGCAGCCTGGAAAAAGCCTCTGGAGCCTGGATCAAGACACGGGGGGGAAACAGAAGCATTCCCCAGCCCCAAATGCGGGTGGCAGTAGCCTGGAAAAGGCCTCTGGAGCCCGGATGGGGCCACGGGGGGGGGTGCAGAAGCATTCCCCAGCCTCAAATCTGGGTGGCAGCAGGAACTGCGGCAGAGAGGAGATGGATCTTTTCCAGGTGAGTACGGCATGGCAGAAGGGAGGGGGAAGCATGCAGTATCTTCATGGGTCGAAGAGGCCTTGGGGGCCCACTCCATCATTAGGCCCTCCATGACCTTCCCCACCCTGAGATAGCTCATATTCGCTTAATGAACCGCGTGCGTTTTAACGAGCAAGGGAGTAATGTTTGAGAGTCACTCTATGAGTTTTCGAGTTACAAGTGTAATGGGCAGGTTCCATTACACTCGTAACTTGAGGACTACCTGTAGCTAACAGAGTAAAACAGTTTTATATCTTAGAGTCAGAAATACTAAGCGGAAATAGAACTTTTTCCCATATAAATGGGTATAAATTTGCAACCTAACTCCTAGATGTTTATCTTATACCCCCATTTATGCCTAGATCATCTTTGAAAAAAAAAAAACAGCAAGAATTTTCCCCTCTTATCTCCCTTTGCAATTGTTCATTTTGGTTCTCAAAAGTGTGGCTTCCAAATATGAAATCCAGAGTATAGACAGTGGGTTCAAATGATAATAACTTATGATGACTGAGATACTTATATATACCATAACTGTATTTAAATGATAATGAAATCACATTTTGTACAGAGAAAGATGCTGTAAAAGTATTAGTAAAGGTAATCTTGTGAAACCAACTATATAGTGAGTATCATACACATCAGTTATAACCAAATTTATTGCAGATGAACTAATACAGTATCAGTTTTTCCACTCAATCTATACAGTACTTAGGAATTATAGAGCTTGTTTTGTCATTGCCATGCACTTGGATGGGTGAGATTATTTTACTGAACTTAATGAGATAGAAATGACATATCATTATCTGATTTTTTCCCCACATCCCCATATTCCAAATATGGCTGATTATAATAGAACAAATTTATTTTCAGTATTTGTATTTTTATAATACATTATAATTGAACTCAAGGTTGATTCTTACTGAATGCTGAAAAGCTTGACATTCACAAAATGGCTGTGATTTTTTGCTCAACTTTTCAAGAATAGTAAGTCTCCTTTTGCTGTTAATGATACCTACCACTGTTGCGAATTCTTTCTTCTAAGAGATCAGCATGTCCTCTAGGAAGTTTCCTGTTAAAAATTTCAGCTGATCGAAGGAACATAGCTTCTACTGCTGAACCTTTTAGCAAAGCAATTTGATCTTCATGATCCAGGATTTGAAAACCTGAAATAAAATGTGAGAACATTAAGCTAGCAGTCAGAAAAATGGTTTTTAGGGTGACAAAGATACACTGTAGGATAACTAAAATAGACAAATCTCTTTTTTTAGCATAGAAAAGAAGCTATTTAATTATAAACACATATTTGAAGGGTGAATTTTGTTTCGGTTCCCAAGCCACCAAACAAGAATTCATCTAGGTTTTTTCACATGTACACATTCTTTTAATCTAATTTAAGATCACAAGATGATTACTCTCAGCCTAATTAGCATATTACAAATTAACTTCCTGTGTGTGGGTTAGAAGAGAGCTGATGTGTTATCATCTTTCAGTATTTAACTGGATACTTTCCAACTCTTTCATTCATTTCTTGTTCTTGCTTTTTCTTTGTTCTAATTAGCTTAAAAAAGAGAGACTATGTAAAAGAACTTTATATAATACTACATAAAAATAAGGTATGTAGTTGGAAGAATTTTTATTCATCAAATTTAGGCATTACCCATTTCAGTCTAAGTTTTCAAATAAAGAACTCCACATTTACACCAATTTAAAGGTAAATTATTAACATTGGCAATATCTTAATCAGGTCTGCTTTCCAATTATGACAACTAAAATCTGTGTTCACTTTATAAAAGCACAGAGATAACTGGGTAAAGGTATTCTAGCCTATCTGCATTTATTTTTCCAGCTCCACACCAACTAGTCATAAACTGATTCAAAGAGAGCTGGGTTAGCTGTGGTGGAGGTTTGGTCTATCAAGGTGAATGGAATACATCTCCACCAATCCCCAAGTAAGCCTCCTTAGAGCCATGTTAATTTTCAGTGCCCTGAAAATATTATGAAGATATTATGAAGTCAAACAAACATTTAATTTATAATATCTGCCCTACTGAGGTTTGGTCTAACTAGAGTTAAAATTGATATTTAAGCTAGATATCTGTAACCTGATACTGTCTGGCTTATTAGTAATTTAAAACAGCATAGTACTATTTTTACCGACCAATTTTTACAATATCTACTGCCAATTGCTTTCATAGGTAAATTTTGCCTATTTTCTTTTTTTAATAGTTTTTTATTAAAAATTACCACTGTAACAATAAAAACTAATGTAAAAAAATAAAAATAAAAAATAGAAAGTACACTTTCTGAAAAATGAAAGAAATATAATAATATAATAAAAAAAGAAATATAGGACTTCCCTCTTCATCAAAAGTATAAAAACGATTTTAATAACTTAGCACCTTTCCTTAAAATACAACAAATTGTTTCCATATCTCATCTCATATTTATAAATAAACCTTAAAGCTATGTCATTTCAATCCAGATGTCAACAAAAGCCCATTAAGGGTTACCAGAGATAACAACATATTTATTTTAACTTTGATCAAATAAACTATCTTTATATTCTTTCTTTTTACTTCTAAAAATCTTGATCTTTAATCCTTTCAAATAATGTCCTAAAACTTGATTTCTTTTCATTTTTTCTTTATCCCTTTTCATAAAATTCTTAAATCAAGACTCCTTTATAAATCCAATATAGGAAAATTATCCAAGTAATTCTCTTGGTTTGTTATTTGCATATCCCTTTTAATTTTTAGACTACCAGCCTTTTGTATGTCCAGTGCAATATCTTCTGCCATGTCGTTCTTGTAGCCTGTCATATTTAAATCCATTCCACATTAGTCTCTCTGTTGTCACATAAAATTTCATCTTCCATAATATCTTTTAAAAACAATCTGTCTATAGAGGCATATACTCTTAAAATTAACTTTTTGTATTGTTTAAAATTATTTCAATAAATCCAATGCTAAAATATTTTTTCATTCTGTATTTGTAAATCAAATTTAAGTGTTCTTTTCAATTGTAATCTATAGTTCTTTTAGTTTCCTCTAGTGTCCAATTTTTAAAGTCTTATTTTTTAAGATGAATTCAAAACAAAGGCACTTTCCATGGGAAGAATTCTTATAATTAATTCCAAAATTTTATTTCAAATTTATCTGGACCATTTGTAACTTTCTAAAATCAAAGATGGCTGCTATTCCCTTGCCTCCCAAAGTATTACGTCCACTTGAGAACCCCATATTGTAATCTTGCTGGACCAACTGGATGGAGCATTTGTATGCAATTTCAGGTCCTCTCTTTATCTGGAGAGGAGGTATCAAAGAGCTGGCCTACCTGCCGGCTCTTCATTCTAAAGCAGTTGTTGGCTCCACTTTTCACAGAGCCACTTTCAGATCACCATTTCTTCCCCAGAAACCCACATTTACTTATCTTCTTTTAATGCGTTTAGATGACAAGACATCATAAGAAGAAAATGCACTGTTTTATATGAGGGGAAGGAGAAACTGTGTGACCATTTTCTCCATTGCAAAATTAGTACCCACAGACTCTTTCTAATGAGAGGGCTGTAGGAAAATCTATATATGTGTGGGAGATGACCAGGCTAAGCCTCAGGGAGGGGGTCAAACACATCATAACTCATGAGTCCCTTTGTGCCCACAAGAGATCTAAGTCCAGCCCACCTTGAATTGCTTTCTATTCTTAACTTTCCTTGACCGTTAGTAGCTCAGAGGGCTTAAGCTTGCAATAAATCTTTATACTCATTTGAACTACCTGAATCTCCTGGTTTTCCTGGCATTTGACCATATGCTGTCAAATTAATAATAAATCTGGTGGGGCTCAGTTAAGAATTTATGAATTTATAAAAGATCACTGTAACTATATACAAGGAAAGAGTATAACAGATTTTTTTCTATCAATGAAAAACCTGGAATGAAGATGCTGAAATTTATTATTTGATTATTTTAATAGGTAAGGGCCTAAAATGAAAACTCTTTACTCTAATTGCTCTAATGTACTCTAATATAAGTTATTATATTACTTTCTGAAAAAATTGCTATGCAACAGATCTTATAGGTCAAAGCGTAAGGGCATGAATTATAGAGGGTAGAGGCTGACACAATTGATTTCTATTTTCTAAAGAAATTGTCAAAGGTGATTCTAAGAGGGAATGAATGTTCTGGAGTGAACGAGGTGCTAGTATCATCAATTATACACTATATGATATCCGTAATCTTTTAAGCAGAAGCATTGAATTTAAGGTGGTTGTATTTCTGAAGTTTATGTCCCCCCTCAGTAGTTAAAAATCTCTAAAACAACTTTTATCGGTTATTTAATTTTTAAATGTTATTAATATTATTGTTGTTACCCTTTACTTTCTATTTTTTATTTTTAAAATATTTTATTAAGTGCTTTGAGTATTAATTAGATTAGGAAGATATAAAGGGATATAAAATAAAAAATCTCTCTGACTAAAAATCAAATTTGATGAATTTGACCAAACTTATTCAACATCTCATTACCTGGTAATCTTTTAGTGAACTCCACAAGCATTTTAACATGGCTAGTGGCCATTTCTGTTAAAACAAGAAAATTTTCTTCTGCACTGAAGTCCTCTTGTAACTGATAATCAAAACAAGATAATAATTAATTATAACTAGTGCTAAAAATAGGAATCCTAGAAATGAATTATTAATTTTTCTTGAACAACTATCTCAAATGTATAGGATTACTTATTGAAAAACTGAACAATTATTAAAGTATGAAAGTTACACAAAACTGATTATTTTAGACCCCAATAAGAGAAAATGAAATAGATGAAGATAATATAGCAGTTTAAAAGTCTCATAATCTTATACACTGTAGATGACAAATAGAGGATGTTGCACATTCAGCTTTTTATACAACAAATAAAAACTTTCTGTACTGCTTCTTATGAGATCTGAATCCAAATTCTATGCCTTTACTTGGCTTGACTAGAACAAATATAAATAGTGGTAGACTGTAAAAATTCAGAGAATGCCCAAGTTAAGAGGTCTTTAAAAAACAACAACCCTTTGTCACCACTTAATGGCCCACTGAATTTTGTAGCCAATATGGTACAGTAGTGTCAAAATGACCTCTAAAATCCCTACTGTTTATTGGTGTCATTTGCACACTACTTTAAGCCAAAAATATTGATCACTAAATCATTCTATGGGAGATAAAGCATGTATACTTACGAGCTTTTTGGTAACTTCAGGAGGAATCTGCTGTTTATTATAGGAATCCATTATATAACAAAGAAGATTTTGTTGTTCTGGGCTTAATTTTACTTTCACCTATACTGGCAAAAAAATGAAACCATAACTGAGCATGATTTTCTACTTCATACATAGGTTTAACTTCAATAATACGATGGAATCATTTACTTTTGCATTGTAGGTAGTCCTCAGGTTACTACGCCAATTAGAACTGGAATTTCCATCATTAAATGATACAGTTGTAAAGTTCAATAGCGCATGACTGCATTACTTAGCGATGGCAATCCCAGCAGTCTCCATTGCCATTGCAGACCCAGGACCATGCAGTTTGTTAAATGAGAAGAGTTTGGAGTCCCATGCAAACAGTGCGGGCAGGGGCTGGGTGGGTACATGATGATGCTGTGAGGTGTCTGTGTACAATGGGGACAGTACTACAAGTGCAGGCAAGTAGGCAAGGCCACAGATGGTTGATGGGTTGGCTGAGGCTGTGGTAGACACTACAAAATCTAGATGAACTGGTAGAGGCTATGGGAAAATGCTATGGAGGGTGGACCTGGTGGAGTGGTGCTACTGAGTATGAGATCCGTGAGATTTTATACATAATAGGGCATTTGGGGAGAAAAAGTGCCAAAAGCAACTGATTGGAGTGACTTGCAACTTTCCCTGTTACCTTCTCCATTGCCTTTGCTTGTGGGAAGCCAGCAGGGAAAGTTGAAAATGATGATCAGGTTACTTCAGAATGCTGCAGTCACCATAAGTGTGAGTGGGTTGCCAAGTGCCCAGATTGTAATCATGTGATCTTTGAAGACTAGTCATAAGTACCACACATTCAATACAGTCATAAGTTTGAATGATCGCTAAACAAGTGGTCATAGTTTGAGGACTACCTATATATATATATATGCAAAATAAAATAATAAATACACCTTTTCCATAATGACTTAGACATAAATATATTTTGCAAGGGATTCAAGACTATATCAAGCTAGTAATAACAGTAATACATTAATTAGTCGTTAATCTGTATCAGAATACAAAAGACAGAACAGAACAGTAAGATTATATGGTATACAAACTATGTGCATATGATGAGGGCATCCTATTACAACCAAGATTAAAACTTGTCAGAACTGTAATATTAACTATATATTCATTCGTTTGTTGTTTGTTGTTTATTATGCCTTAGAGTCCTGGTGATTGCCTGGACTAGGCTTTGCAATTTTTGTGGTAAGATTTCAGGAGTGGTTTGCCATTGCTTGCTTTCTGAGACTGAGAGAGAATGACTGGCTCAAGATCACCCAGCTTATTTTGTGCCGAAGTCAGGACTAGAATTCATGCTCTCCCAATTTCTAGCCGGGAAGCTTAACCCCTACACCGAATTAGCATGTCTGTTATTGCATCAATAAGATCAGTGGTTTTCGGAGGAGCTTCCGGTACGTGGCGGCGATGATGGCAGCTACCTTGTAGCCGTCCAGCTGGGAAGGTGTTAGAGCTGCGGAGCACAGCGCGCACCAGCTGGCCCGCGGTTCGGAATCCCCTTCCCAGGCAAAGGGAAGGGGTAGAGAACGCAGGAGTAGAGGTAGAACCCCTGAACCCCCTCTGGATTTTTTCCTTGAGGGGGTGGAAGGAGCGTTCCCTCGGAGCTCCTGCTGATCTCCGCCTCCCAGCTGTTTTTGCTTCTTCGGAAGCAAAAGGAACCGCCGCTTCTATCTCCGCGGTTAAAGAATCTCGGTGAGTAACTTTTGAAGCGGACAGAGCGGTTTAAAGGATTTCTTTTTATAGTTTAGTGTTTTATTTTCCTCTTCTAGTTAGTTTTGGTTGTTTCTCCTTTGTTCTTTTTTGTTGGCACGGAGAGAGAAAAAGATGGCGCTTTGAAAGTGTTCGGCTTTTTTTTTTTCCTTTGTCTCTTTGTTCTTATTTTTCTTGGAAGGTAATGGACTTAAATGACTGTTTTTGATTTCCTTGTTCTCAGCTTTGGATCTTTTTCTTGATTTTCTCTCTTTTTTCTTTTTCGGAATTCTAAGGATTACAGTATTTTTGTTCCTTTTAATTTTTATCTCCCCCTTCCCTTTTTTTGGGGAGAAGGGAAGAGAGAACTGTGTTTTAAAAAATGGCTTCAAAGAGACAACCGCCTTCTATACTACCTAAGGTGGTTTCCTCTCCCACAACTTTAACCATACAACAACAACAACAACCTAAACATGTACCACCGACCCAGCCACCACCTTCCCCTCCTTTGCCAGGCCTGTCTGCACAAGAGATTAAAGACATAATGGGAGATGCTGTATCTCAAATTAGAGATGAAATGAAGCAACTTGTTGTACAGATTAAATCTGAAATTAAAGTGGAATTAAATGAAATGAAGGACTCATTAGAGGATAATAATACTATTATGCGGCAAGATATAGTTACAGCCTTATCAGGTTTGGCTTCTGTGGTGGTGAAGCTGGACTCGAGAGTGGAGGAAGTCGCAGACAAAGTTGACTTTTTTGAGGATAAATTTCAAGATATGGAAAAGAAGATGGTGATTTCACAAGAAGATATCCTTATGTCTCAGTATAGGGAGATGGAGCACGCCCTGAGAATCAGGGGTCTGAAGGAGGACATGAATCAAGATTTGATGGAGATGGTGCTTAGTGATTTAGCTGTTGCTTTGAATATGGATAAAGGAGAATTACGCAGAGAAGTGGAAAAAATTTATAGAGTTAATTCCTGGATTGCGAAGCAGAAGAACTTGCCTAGAGATGTTGTGATTTATTTTACAAAGAAGTCTCTGCGTAATGAAATTATACAAGCTTTTTATAATAAGAGATTCCAGATTGCTGCCCAAGATGTTATTATTCTAAAGGAAATCCCATCAAAAATTTTAAGAAACAGGAAAGATTTTGCTTTCTTAGCTAATGAGCTTAAAGCTAGATTGATGCCATTTAGATGGGAGATTCCGATGGGCATTGCTCTGAGCCATGCGGGGATGCGTCACAGGCTGAACACGGTTGACAAAGCTAAAGAGTTTTATAATACGGTCCTGGGTGCAGGCTCAGCTTCATCTGTTCAGAAGCTCTTGAGTGGTAAAGAGCTGGAACAGCAACCTGAAACATTAGGTCTGATCTCTGCTGGGAAGATGCAAGCTGAATGGCAATGTCAAACAGAGGTTAAAGAGCAGAGGATGACCCGTGCAGTACATAGACGTAAGGAAAAGGAGCAACAAAAGAAAGAAATTAAAGAATCTTCTTCGGAAAGTGCTTCATTGCCGGTGGGAGGAGCAAGACCCAAGAGTTTTGCAACACATACAGCAATGGCAGACCTCCAGGTAGTCTTCTCCAGGCTCCTGGTAAAGGGAGATGGCAAAGTTTCTGACCTGGAATGTTAACGGTCTAAATTCCCCTCAGAAAAGAAAGAAAATCTTTTACTACTTAAAGCAACATAACAATGATGTTATTTGCCTACAGGAAACTCATATTTTACTTAAAGATCAAAAATATTTAGTTAACGCCCGTCTGGGATCTCATTTTGTATCTGCAGCTCCTGGGAAAAAGGGGGGAGTGGTTATTTATGTGAAGCAAAATTTACCAGCTTGTCTGGTAGAATCAGATCCCCAAGGAAGATATGTAATGATTGAACTTGGTTTATATGGTAAGAAAATACTTATAGTGGGACTTTATGCACCAAATCAGCAACAGGAACAATTTTATAGATTGTTACATCAAAAAATAACTTTGCTGGACTATAGATCCGTGATATTAATGGGTGATTGGAATGGTGTCTTAGATATACAAAGGGACAAGAAAGGTTCTTCTCCTCTTTTTAAACAGGCAAAACTACCTAAAGCCTTTTTTGACATGAAAGAGGACTGGGAACTAAGGGACTATTGGCGGGAATGTAATCAAGAGGAGAGAGACTTTACCTTCTTTTCAGATAGACACCAATCCTTCTCAAGAATTGATTTCTTTTTGATTACAACGGATTTATATAATAGAGTAAAGAATGTAAAGATTTTTCCTAGATCGCTGACGGATCATAGTCCAGTTTGGATGGAGCTGACTCAAGAAAAAGAGGAGAGAAGATCCTGGAGGGTGAATGAGAACTTATTTAGACAAGAAAAGAATGTTCAAAAGTTAAAGGAGTGTTTAAAGGATTATTTTGCTTTGAATATGTATAAGGGGACTTCAATGTCAATGGTATGGGATGCAGGTAAAGCATTTATGTGTGGGATTTTGATAAAAATGAATAACTTTCATAGGCAAAAGCAGATTCAGAAACGTAAAGAATTGGAAGATGAGATCAAATTAAAAGAAAAGTTTTTGATTTTAAATCCTTCAGATGAAAGGATTAAAGAATCTATAAAATTGCTAAGAACACAATTTAACATGTTGATGGCGGATCAATCCGCAACCAATTTATTGTTTATGAAACAAAATACATTTTTTAATGCTAATAAACCAGGGAGATGGTTGGCTTATCAACTAAGAAAGAAACAGAGACAGAGAATAATAGATAAAATAAACTATAAGGGTAAACTAGTGTATCAGAAGGAATTGATTAAGAAATCTTTTTTAGATTACTATCAAAAATTATATAAATCTACTAATGTGCAAATTTTAGATATAAATAAATATTTAAGTGAGGCCAACTTTCCCAAACTGACAGAGGACCAGAAACATGAAATTAATGGTTTAATTACTAATGAGGAAATTGCGATAGCAATCAAACAATTGAAACTAGGGAAAGCACCGGGCACGGATGGGTTGACATCTGTTTATTACAAAGCTCTAATGGAAGAGATGATTCAACCATTAGGTGATCTTTTTAATAATATTTTACAGGGCTCAGAGATTCCTCCTTCATGGCGTAGTGCTTTTATATCCTTGATCCCAAAAGAGGATCAAGATCCTACTTTACCGAAGAATTATAGACCTATATCTCTTTTAAATGTTGACTATAAGATATTTGCAAAAATTTTAGCAAATAGGCTTATGAGGGTTGTGCATTATCTTGTGCACAAGGATCAATCTGGGTTTATAACTGGTAGGTACATGAAAAATAATGCTAGACAAATTATTAACTTATTAGAATATCTAGATAAGAATAATCAAGTTTCTGCAGGGCTGATATTTTTAGATGCTGAAAAAGCTTTTGATCAATTGAATTGGCATTTTATGTTAAGAGTAATTGAAGAGATGAATCTTGGTGAAAAGATATTACAAGCTCTTACGGCAATATACCAAAAACAAACGGCACAACTTATTGTTAATGGAGGTTTGTCAGAGGTTTTTACAATAGAGAAAGGTAGTAGGCAGGGATGTCCATTATCACCGTTGCTGTTTGTTTTAACATTGGAAATATTGTTGATTAAAATTCGAGAGTCGCAGGAGATAAAAGGAATAGAAGTTAACAAAAAAGAATATAAGTTAAGAGCTTTTGCAGATGACTTGGTGGTTACTTTGTCGCAACCTACTTATTCTGTAGTAAAGTTATTACAGTTGACTTATCATTATGGTTTGGTTTCGGGTTTTAAGATTAATGTTAATAAGACTAAAATCCTACCTAAAAATATGACTATTCGGGAGAAGCAGATTTTGGTTAATTTGACGGGTTTTGAAATTGTTAATAAGGTAAAATATTTGGGGGTGATTTTATCTGTTTCTAATGCAAAATTGTTTAAGAATAACTATGAAAGGTTGTGGGTTAGAGTACAGAAAGACTTGAGGAATTGGGAGAAGTTGCAATTATCTCTCATGGGAAGAATTGCAGTGATAAAAATGAATGTTCTACCCAAGTTCCTTTTCTTGTTTCAAATGTTACCGATTTTGAAGAATGAGATTAATTTAAGTGAATGGCAGAAAGGTATTAACAAATTTATCTGGGCAGGGAAAAAACCAAGGGTAAAGTTTAAAATCATGCAAGACTCCCGTGAGAGAGGTGGACTCAAGGTACCGAATTTGAAATTATATTATGATGCGGTGGTTTTAACATCAATTAGTGATTGGGTAAATTTAACAAATTTGGAGATACTCCATTTGGAGGGATGGGATTTACTTTTTGGTTGGCATGCCTATTTAATATTTAATAAAAAAGTGGACCGGGCTTTTAAATCTCATATTATAAGAATCTCTTTACTTAGGGTTTGGAGAAAATATTATAAAAGTGATTTTAAAATACCATTATGGGCTATACCTTGGCATGCGATAGAGGGGATAAAAAGAGGTGTCAAAATGGATATGGTGTCTTATATACAGTTACTTAGATGGGATGGACAAAATTGGCAGTTAAAATTATTGGAAGAGCTAGCACATGAAAATATTATTTATTCTTGGTTTCAATATAGGCAATTAGTAGACAGATGGAAGATGGATCGTAAGGTGGGTTTCCTCAGAGAAGATGAAAATTTTATTAAGCAAGTGAAGGATCAAAGACAAACTCATATTAAGAGAATTTATGGGGTTCTAGTGGAATTGGATTCAGAAACAGAATTAATTAAGGATTGTATGATTAAATGGGCGCAGAATTTTGGTGAACCAGTTCTACTGGATACCTGGGAAACTATTTGGGTGAGAAATGTTAAATTTACACAAGCACAGAATTTAAGGGAGAATTTTTATAAAATGTTTTATAGATGGCACCTTGATCCACAAAAAATGTCTTTTATGTACCCTGACCTACAGCCTAAATGTTGGAGATGTGGTTGTTTGGATGCCACCTATCATATTTGGTGGTCGTGCAGAAATATAAAAGCCTTTTGGATCAAGATATGGTGGAATATTCAGAGAATTTTTAGAAGGAGGGTAAAATTCACTCCACAATTATTTTTATTAGGTATAGTTACTGATTGTGATACAAAGGAGGTTATATTGATGTTGAACTTGATCACAGCCGCAAGGCTGTTAGTAGGACAATATTGGAAGAAGGAATCTTTGCCTACTTTGCAGGAATGGTTTCTTAAAGTGTCTTATTTGGCGGAAATGGCAAATATTTCGGCTTTCTTAAAAGAACAATCGCAAGAGAAATTTCTTGCTGTTTGGGATAAATGGATAAAGTTTATACAATTTAAATTGGATATAAAAAATATCATCTAGCTTTTTTATAACTTTTATTTTTATATATATACATATATTTTAGTGTTATATTCTTTTTTTTCATATAATTTTTTTAACTTTTTTTAATTAAACCTATATTCTGCTCTGGGAAGCTCCGGGGGGGGGAGGGAGTGGGGGTTTTGGGGAGGGTTGGAGAAGGGTTGTTTTGTTTTGTTTTGCTTTGTTTTGTTTTGCTTTGTTTTTGTATTGTATTGTATTGTTTTTTTTGTCTTTTTGTAAAAATTTATAAAAATTTTTAATAAATAAAAAAAAAAAGATCAGTGGTTTTCAACCTCTTCTTCACTACTGACCCTCTTAAATACCTTTTGTGGCGATAGACCATGGCCATAGACCCCTAAGACTTAACTCAAGATTTAAATCGTAACATTTCTTCAAGCCCCCTGTGATGACATTGCAGCCCCCATTGCTCCCAGGTTGAGAACCACTGCTCTAGATAGTTCACATACCACTCTAAGCCATGGTTTGTTTAATCATGGCTTACTGAATAAATCATAATTGATTTAGGCTAGCTTCAATAGGCTAGCTTCATACTATGACCAAGGTTAGAACTAAATAAACAATATTTTGCCAAATTCAGGGATGATTACCACACTGATACCGATTATATCATAGTATAAACTGATATACTCTCAAGGCCATCAATGATACTTTTGCACATAAATAATATTAAATTATAATTTTACAGTTATATGGTTTATTCCAGCAAACAGAAGACTTATTTATTTGCATTATTAAAAGCTCACCTTTCTATAAGGTAATAGAAATTTGCTTGTCAGAATTCTCATTCAGTCTGCCATACTTACTAGATGTATCAAACTATAGAGTGATGAGATGCTACAGTAATTTTATTACCTTATAGAATTTAGTTGTAGATGACACTTCCTTCAGGTCAGGTTTCTCGAGATCTTCACTAATAGTCTCATCTGGGCGCTGTGATAGATTTTTTCTTAGTCGTTTTGACTTGCATTGGATTTCAGTTAACAAACCTGAAAATCAGAAAATGAATACTTATAATTTGTACAACTGATACTTATCCATGTTGGTAATCCCAAAAGTAACGAATAAAGGCTCATGTATAATTACAATCTCCATCTTTTTTTTTTATTAATTCACATGTTCAGGTAAACTTGTCCAGGAGTGGATGCAACTACATCCATTCCTAGTCAAAGTTACTTTGGCAACTAGGATCATATGTCCCCAATTGCTGCTGGATGCTTCTTATCACTTTGAGGGAAAACAGGAGGAGGAAGCTTTTGCTAAGTTAATCATCTTCTTGCCTGATGAAAGTCTCTTCCTGACTGGACCAGCTTTGTGAGGCTATAGAGAGAAAGGCAAATTTGCTTCCCCAGAAGTATTTTTTCCATGATAGACAGACACAGTTTGAAATAGCTGGGTGGAAATCAAGAGTTAATTTTACATATTATATACATTCTCAGAAAAAAATGAGGAGATATTCCACTTATTGACATTATTTCAGCATTTAATAATAATAATAATTTCATTATGTCTATTAATACCTGAAATGTGGTGGTGGAAATAAATTTGTAAAGTTATTGCCAAGGCTGGACCTATGTAATTCCTCCCTCCCATCTATCACAATTGTTCAAAGTAACATAGCCAACTTCAGTGACCATATTTCTCTACTCAGAATATTAAAAAATCAATCTTACTATATCAGTTTAAGAAGATAAAATATTGTTGTCCAAGAATAGGTAAATGATGGTGCAGGGCTATAACAATCATAACAAATGGAATACTTTTGTGTGTATATATATATACAATTTTGTTTCACCTGGGAGAATGAAGAAAAGAGGCCAAATATTGTTGAGGAAGATATCTACAAAAATTCTTAATTCAGCAATGAACAGTTTTAATATCCTGTATATTATAAAATCATGCACCACAGAAATCAAACTTCCTTTATTACAGAAAGAAGAGGAAATTTAAGGGATTAAAATAACAATTCCACATAATATCTCAAAAGATTAAAATGGCATTTATAATCACAACATAGGCACTAGGTTTAGTGCTGACTTTGATCGTTTTAGCATGGAGCCCTTAGCAAACTGGCATTCTCCAGATGTATTTAATGTAAATCACATTATGAATACTACCAAAGGGTGACAGTTGCTTCATACACTAGGGGAAAAAGACATTTCTGTATATCCATGAATCAGAAAACACATGGTATACATAAACTAGGGCCAGAAGCTTATTTAATGTATTCAGATGGATATCTCTTGTTCTAAATAACAGTACCGTTATCTTCAGACCAGCAAATATCTGACAAATGGTTTTATTGTATTAATTTTTTTCCAGTTTTTACTGTATTGTTTTGTTTTATTGTATTGTTCATCCTTCTAAGCTATTTAATAAAATCTCAGAATTATTTCCAATGAGAAGCTTGCCTTTCCAACAAAGTGTGAACCAGATTTGAGTGAGGATTACTTTCTACGTTTTGAGTTAGAAACGTATCTCTAACTGCACAAAAACATGATGTGTAATCACTACATCATGATGATTCAGGGATGCACAAATAAAGTAATAAAAACCATAAGATTTCCCTCTTTTTTTGCAGTATAGCAACATTTTACAGGAATAATTGCAGTATTGTCTTATGAGTAAAGGCTCAAAGTCCAAGGTAATGTTAATTTCAGAGAGATCATTTGCTTAAAGTCAATTTACAAAAAAAGTTACAAGTTTAACTATCCGGCAAACCTTGAAGGTTGTTTTTAAATTAAAAATGAACAGTACCACTCCTTATTTGAAGGTAGTTACAACTTGTATGATGTCCTCATTCCTGTACTTTACAAGAATCTGCTTATGTTTAAATTATAAGTTATATGACTCTCATAGTAACAAAGTACAAGTTTCCATTTCAAAGGGACATTTAAGTCACAGTGCCTTATTATTTGCCTTTGCTTCACTCAAGACTATCTGAGAAAATGGCCTGCTGGTTTGAAAGTTTCCATTTCCTTGGGCAGCATTAGTTACATTGCCCTATTTTTTTCTGATTATTTTATTATCAGATACTAAATTACTCATAGTACTGAAGATACATTTACTGGTAATCCTGAAGATAAACACATTTCCCCTTTCTCTGGGAATAACCTGACTTTATTTTAAAGAAAGTTTATTTTTATTGCACGCTTACAGATTCATTAAGGCAGTGGTTCTCAAGCTTTTTATACGGCGACCCCGGACATAAGCAGGTGGCGTGCATGCGCGGCGGCGCCCCCTGCGCGGCACACATGCGCGGTGGCTCCCCCTGCGTGGCACGCATGCAGGGCGGCGCCCCCTGCGTGGCACGCATGCACGGCGGCGCCCCCTGCGCAGCACGCATGCGCGGCAGCCCCCCTGCGTGGTGCGCCTGCGCAGTGCCGCCCCCTGCATCACCCCCTGCGCAGCGTGCATGCGCAGCGCCGCCCCCTGCGCCAGCTGACAAAAAAATGGCGGATCGCGTTGTTTGGAGACCCCCGTGAAATGGTCGATCGACCCCAAATAGGGTCGCGACCCACAGATTGAGAACCGCTGCATTAAGGGGTCTGACCATCATGGCAGCCTCATTTGTTTGGTTGCTTGTGCACTGAGGGTAGAGAGAGCATATAGCAAGATCTTTGCTTTTAAATTGACAGCATAAGGGGGTTAATTATACTAGAATTTTTTCATTAATTCCGAAATGCTAATAAAGTCTATTGTTTTCTACAAAGCATAAGAGTTGATATAGCATCTTGTGATCAGATTGGAGAAGTACATTAAGAATTCAGAATAGATTAATTTCCGGTATGAGCTTAAACTAGTTTGATACTGCAATTATGCTAAAATAACTGAAGCTATTAATAGGAAACACCAAACAGCTTGAATCCTGTACTTGTATATTTACAAAACATAACACATGCCAAGAAAGTAAATTTTAATAAAATACTATGATAAATCTAACATTAGTTAAGTACAATACAACAGTAAATCTGATCTTCACTTTTTTCCTAAATGGGTGAATTCAAAGACCATATTATCTTTTCCTAACTATCCATAGCCCCTATATTATAAAAACAAACTACAATTAATTTGCAATTAAAATGAAATAAGTGAAAATAGCTGTATACATACATTCTGCCAGCATTCCAACTGCCTTGCACTTTTGTAGACGGCACTTCTGACACTTTCTCCTCATATACATGTCCATCTCACAGTTTCCTCCATTTTTACACTTGTATTCAGCATTTTTAGTGATACTCCTTCTGAAGAAACCTGATGATATATGCAGAATAATATTTCAGATTTAAAACCAATGCTAAAATGATTACTATATGAATACCACTAACTTAAGATGCTTTTAATTAGAAAAATGTGTTTTATAGATCACAGTAAAAGTTTTATCTAGGCTGAATTTCTAACTTGAGTATAATCAGTTCTCAAATGCTGCATATTCTGTTATCCTCTAAGTGGGTTCATATGTCATGTTAAATTATAGTCAAGTTGACATATTTTGTTAACCCATAAGCCATCATTTACCAACCACATAGGCTGGAGTACATACAGTAGACTGCACCAAAGTAATGGTACTTTATCATGCTATTTGAACCAGCTTGGCTTACAGTACATATTGTACTGCATTGCAATGTAATTTGTTGGTCTTGGCTTAGTGTGTTTTGTCATTCCAGCCACAATAACTCCTCATCTTTGGTACATAGTTTCAAATATATGGTCCTCTCTGATTGTGGCTAAAAACTAAAAAAAAATCCAGTTGCCTTTTGAAAAAAAAAGCACTTTTGAACAATGAACTGGATGATTGATGATAGACAAACTCCAACTAAGCAGTAAATTAATGCATGTTCACTAAATAAAGTTTATAGTTGAATCTATCATGCAAAGGCAGCCAGAAATTATCTCTATTCATTACTTAATATCCTGGTAGTTTAGATTTATTTTATCTTAACAAGTTATTATCAGATCAATCTGCTGTTACTTCTTTGACTACAGCTAACTATTATTTTACAGTATGCTGTAGTTTCTTTTCTAATCTTTTTTAGGTATTTTAGAACTTTTACCCCTTTTTTCTCTAATTAATAGAGATTTTCTTTTTTTTTAATTTTCTGATCTGTGACTGAATAAAAATTGATTAAATGATTGACTGATTGCAAAGGCACCTTTTCAGCTTTTTGAAAACTCAATTTCCTTAAGTATAATATTTTATACCATATAGGCTTTTAAATCTATAAAGATATCTTCTGGAGAAATGTATTTTTTCCAATTTAGAATAGAAAGTTGCTACTCTGCTCTGATTTGTTATAGTGCTATTTCTAACAATGTCCCTATATATATGCATAGAACAATGTGATACATGGAGCACACATCTCTCAATCTTTCACTTGTTTGAACAATGGAGTAGATAGCTGTACCAGGTTATTGCATAATATTAAATACAAAAGCTATTCCAAGTAAGAAAATTTTCTAATCCTAGCAAGATAAATGCACTGAAAATCCTTCTAGTGAAAGAAATTATAAGATTTGTACCCTCGTGACTTGATAGTGAAGCAAATGTGCTTCTGAAGCTTTTGCTAAATAGTGAATGATCTTGTCATATCGTTCTATCAGTTGACTTATCTGTAATCACAGAATCTTATTATAGTAATACTACTGACAGACTTTTATCTAAACAGTATTTCTCAACCTTGGCAACTTTAAGGTATGTAGATATCAGTTCCCAGAATTCTGAGAGAATTGGTGGTCAGGGAATCCTGGAGTTTGAAGTATATATATATCTTAAAGTTGCCATGGTTGAGAAGATCTTGACAATGGCTCTATCTCTGGTTAAGTAGATGAATTCTATATAAATAGTTCTATTTTTAAACATGTGTCCTACCTTTGCAGCCTTCACATGTCAGGGCATTATAATGGTACCCAGAGGCCTTGTCACCACAGACAACACACAGCTCCTTATCTTTTGTTCTTCCAGAGAGTAGACCCATCCGAGACTTCTTGGCTATAGGAATATCTACCAGATCTGTCTCCTTGGTTTGTAAATGATTAGAAGGCATTTTTCCAAGTTCGTACATTACAGGGGAGTGCCATTCTTCAGATTGTTGAGGATAAAGATTAAAACTTGAATAATAAGATGGTAAAGAGATTGGAGGCTGCATTGGGCAAAAATGCATAGTGTTGTACTGTGAGTAGGATGACACATCAGTATCTTTCGCTGCAGAAATCATTGGATCCGGATGTATACCTCAATAATAACAGAAGATATATTTCTAAATCAATATTCCAGAAACAGTTATTTTCACCAAAAATAATCATTGCCATTTTTTTCTTCTTGTACATCCTTGCAGTGTATATTAATGTTCAATCATCCTGAACTGAGCTTGCTAAATGTGCATGGATGGATCTAATTATAGTAAGACCTTGGATTAATGGATTTGTGATACATAATGGATGCATATTTTGTTCAAACAGCCCTTGATTTTACAGATTAAATAAGAGTGTTGCACTTTATATTGAGTATTTACTGAATAAGCAAGAGTTATGTCAATTATATGATTATATAGATTATGCATATTGATGAACATGACAGATATGAATTTACTACCATTTGGCATTAGTAGATATCCTCTTCCTTCAGTGGTCAATTAAACTGAGATTCTACAGCAGGGATCCCCAACCCTCGGTCCGTGGACTGGCACTGAGCTGCGGCAATCAAGAAACTGGGCCACATAAACAAGTAAAGCCCCATCTGTGGGATGCAGGCAGCACATGAAACCATGCCCCCTCTGGTCCATGGAAAAACCTCTCTCCATGGAACTGTCCCTGATGCCAAAAGGTTGGGGGCCACTATTCTATAGTGATCAATCTACAACATACATTTTAAAGAATAAATGTCTTTTCTTTTTCTCATTAACTCTGCTGGATTCCCTTGACGTGCTAATTCTTTTTAGATTTGGTTGGGTGTATATATAAACTGTATGCAGGAAGAAGATATGTATGCCAGATGAGGGGACTACAGTTACATGCCAATTAGCGATGGACTGTAGGACTGTGGTAGGGGCTGCGGAACAACTTTTATACCGCATATGAAACTTTTCCCCATAATACAGAGGTCTTCTTTTCCAGCACTGTTTAAAGTAGAAGGGAAAGATACAATGGAGATTGCTCTCTTGTCTCCTCCCCTCCCTAGGTGGGAGACTACTCAGCTTTCCAAAGAAAAGCATCTCTCTTTCCTTGTCAGTTCCCACTCCACCCCAAAGATATTTACATAGTGGAATAAAAAGGTTGTGTGTCCATCTAGCTCTTGATTCTAAATATTGAATTGCCAGTTGCTAAAACTGCATGAATATATTTGCTGACAAAACCACATATAAATATTGTTAGACTCCAATGTGGTTGATTTGTATTGTGTGAACAGAGTCAATCAGTTTGAATTTATGATTAAATGTTTCTAGTGAAAGTGCAAAAACAGTTTCTGTATTCATTTTTCAGTATAAACATTTATAGGAACTATTTTAAAAGTACAGTGCTGAAAATCTGAAATTACTACTTTTTTACAGTTGTTATTTTTCTTTTCAATGAAGGCTGCAATTTGATTCAACTAATAGAACATTTTGTTTTTACTAAATAATTAATGTTTTTAGTTCTCTCTCTGTCTTCCTTGAATTTGTCTGATACTTTAAAAAGCTATTGAAACTACTAGCTTTGCTAAGTAAAAAAATTCAATAGTTAATTATAAATGTTACATAGTGGCATTACAAGGATTAACATATGCAAATTCCTACAACATGAAAACAGGTGATTTCTGATGTGATCTTGGTAGTCTTTTCCTCTGTTTTTCGTTTCCAAGATATTCTCACAAACTAACCCAGCTATATTTTAGGATAGAATGAAAACCAAATCTTTATTTAAATTATAATCAGTATGTCATAGAAACATTGGGTTATTTAAATAAACTATGGTCAAATGAATGAGTAAATTTGTTCTGAAAACACAATAAATAAATGATACAATAATTGTTTTTACAATTATCTTAAATTATTTTTCTTTTCTGCTATACAGATAGGAGGAGTTTTCAGCAGAGTAGGACTGAAGGAATATGAGGCTGGTATTTGTCAGGATAGATGTATATTATATCAATTTTAGTTTGGGGGACAAAAACAATATATTTAAATTTTTAAGTCTTTGTTACATCATTTACGTACACAAAGAACACTTTTTAAACATAAGCCATGGACTACAAAAGAAAGTTTGACTGATTTCTAAAGAACCATTAAATGCTACTGGTACATTAATTCATTAAAGGAAAATTAGATAACAAACTCTAGTTTCCCCCAGTTAGTAAATGAGCTTGGTTGTCCTTTTAAAATCAAATAAACATTGCAATAATTATAGTAGTATTAATCACAATATGGAAGCACAATGGCTCAGTGGTTAAAGATGCTAAACTGGTCAGCTGCAAAGCTGACAGCCCAAGTTCAAGACCTGAGTGCTGTGCAACAAGGTGAGCTCTCATTACTTGCCCCAGCTTCTGCCCACTTAGCAGTTCAAAAGCATGCAAATGCTAGTAGATAAATAGGTACCACTTAGGTGGGAAGGAACAGCATTCTGGATGCCTTGGCATATAGTCTGCTGGCCACATGACCATGGAGGTCTCTTCACTGACTCCCTTGGCTAAGAAACGGAGATGAGCACCACCCCCTAGAGTCAGACACAACTGGACAGAGAAAACCTGTTCCTTATTAATCACAATATTATTCACAATTGTAATGTTATATTATCAATTCTTATTTTACAGAAGTTAATATATGTAAGTCTTAATATTATACTTCAGTTTCCCAAACCAAGTAGTCTATATGTTATAGAGTATTTTCAACTTACCTATGCTGACTGGGGCAAGATGACAGCTGTAGTCTAATACATCTGGAGGACACCAGGAAGGAGAAGATTGGTCTACCACAAATCAAGAACAATATGAACCAAAATTACCATATAAGAAATTATTATGTAGAGTAAGAAAATGCTCACTAGATAGTTCCAAGCTGAATTAGTTATACATATAAAAAGAAATAATAGTATTTGGATGTCTTAGGTCATAAATATCAATGTTTAGGCATGGTTTCATTATAACTACTAAAAATGATCTTATCTAGTATTAAGAATAATAAATGAGTAAATTGGAATGATATCTTACCTTTTAAGAGCAAACCAATTTAACAATTTAAGTAGAGTTTCTGAAAATGTTGTAATATAGTTTCTCTTCTGCTTCCTTAACTTCCAAAACCCTAATCACAAATGATACATAAAACTTCCTCTGAGACCAGCCAAGGAAATAGTAGGGCAGAGGTTACATGGTTTACTGATTAACTTTATTATGAGAAATAAGTTGAGAGAGTAGCTATGACAAATGTCCAGCCCAATTTGGTGAAATTTAGAAAATTTGATCTCAGAAGAAGCATTCATAACTGTACGCTTGCCTGTTGTATTATTTCTTATGGATCAGTATATTGTATAATGAAGTATAAAAATACTGCTTGATAAAATAAGCCAATCAACCAATATATTATAATTCACAATGGTAAATCTATATAAAAACCTATTCTAGCCCTGAGGCAAGGAAACTGCTGTGGGAAATCAAGATGCCTCATGTAACAGTCAGCAAGTCAGTATGAGTGTTGTAAATAGGTCGACTGTTTGATATCAAATTATGTTTTCCTCTTGGATTTGCCAGAGATGTTTCTAGAGAAGGACTGCTCTTTGCCTCATGGGGAAACACATGTTATTCTTCCCCCTCCCCCCAAGATAAGAGATGTATTGGGAAAATCATCTTTGTGTTAAAAATATAAATAACTTGATTCAAGTATGTTTATAAGCAAGAGAATTTTGGAGTGGGTTGCGGTTTTTTCATCATGTCTCAAGTTGGCCAAATGCTTTATGCTGTTGCTGGCCATCAGTATGTTCCTACTGCCAATCAGCTTTTTGTGCAGTGCAGTCCTGCCACCAGCTGTGCTCCTCTCATCTCATTGGCTAATGGTTTTGAATACAAGTTGAGTGATCTGCTGCCATGTGGGAATATAACATGTCAGCTGTCTGCCACTGACAAAAGGTGAGGAAAAAAAATTAATTCCTACCCAAAAGCATCAGCATTCAGAAAAACATGGTGAGGAATACTGAGGAGTTACTGATCACCATGGCAAAAATATCCAAAGATTATTACATTTATTATATATCTTATTTGTTGTACACATATATCCCAATAACGCTAACAATGTAATATATGAAAGAAAAAAATACTATTGAACCATTTTACTGTTCATTATATAAAAAATACCAGTTGTATACTTAAAGCAGTATATATAGAAACAGATTGTATTTTATACACTGTCTCAGAAAATCTTTTCTATTCTAAAACCTGGTGTCACCTGCTCATTGCTTGCAAAACCCATTTATTCTTATCTTTTAGCTAAGTTGATGGGATGCCCTTATATGCTGACAGCTGAAAACAGAGAAGTGGTGACAGAGAGACTAAAGGAAGTATTATGAGGAAAATGGAAAGATAAACAGATGAGGGGAAGAGGCATAGAGCAGAAATATTACAGACATTCAAAGAATGCAGAAAGGAAAAATGGTTAACACCTCCCCCATCTACTCCATCTCAAGACTTCAGTCCAGATCACTACATTCTTTCACCTATAAGTATATTTTCAAACAAAACAAAACAAAATAAAAACAAACCTACAGAAGAGTTTATGAATTTTTCACACGATAAATAGTTTGACTAAATGTAAATGTTGCTGAATGATGGGGAAAGAAAGACATTTGGACAGAGTCAAGAAATAGAATTGGTTGAACCACAGAATTGATAAAAAAGAATACTTGTGGCTCAGGATTAAACTCAGGGTTAAACACCAGTGGAGTCTTGGTGTTCTCTGAGCTTGGTGGTTTTCCTGCAGACGTTTTATTGCCAAACTAGGTAACATTAACAAAATGTCTGCAAAAAACCCACCAAGCTCAAAGAGCACCAAGAACCACAGAATGGTTGAACAGATGGGGAGTCTGAATTCTTGAATGTTCAGTTATTAGACATGCTTATTTGAGCTAATGTAACCTTTTTTTACTGTCAACATTTATTTCCCTACTGCCTGCGCTGACTGATACTTGCTATCCAGGAACTTTATAGTGAAGGACACAAGCTGGGATCTTTTTCTATACAGCATATGTGTTCTGCTGCTGCATTAATAGTGTGCTTTACCACTAAATCACTTTATTTTCTTTAATTATTTATTCATTTTATAGCATCACTAAAAACTAATTGAGGACATTTCAAAAAATAGTCAATTGTTTAAAATGATAGAAAACTACATTCATTCATTCATTTCTTTGTTTATTTATTTACCACCTTTATTATTTTTTACAAATAACTCAAGGTAGCGAATATATCCAACACACCTTCTTCCTCCTATTTTCCTCACAACAACAACCCTGGGTGGTAGATTGGGCTGAGAGAGAGTGACAGGCCCAAGGGCACCCAATCAGCTTTCATGGCTAAGGTGGGACTAGACTGACTGTCTCCCGCTTTCTAGCCTGGTGCCTTAACCACTGTTTAGCTTTCTTTCAACATTATAAATATTGTATTGTTATTAATGTAAGTTCTGATTTACCAAATAAATTAGGACCTTCAGAAAGAGAAAATCCATCTGCTGAAGATAGCTGGGAATGGTTGATCAAGTTCATCTCCAATGCCATAGAATCTTTAATGTAAGATTTGCAAACAGTGATGAAATCTAACAACAAATAATATTATTAGTAAAAAAATACAAAATATTGGGACTTGCTGATCAAAGTTGAATGCTTATGGAAAAAGAAATCCAATGTTATAACAGTTGTGACTGGAGTCCCTGGAGCAATAGTTAAAGCATATCTAGATATATTACATTTATCAGATGTTAATTTTACCACCCCCAAAAAGCCGCCCTGCTTGGAACTGCCTTATATTCTTTGAGTCTGTCTTAATAATTCTTAGATCCTTGGTTAGGACTTAATAGCAAATAAAAATAAGCCTTACATTCTTCCATGTGGATCATTCCCAGTATGTAATACTACAATGTGATCGTTTTCATACTAAGAGTTTTCCCATTTTTAAAATGGATACACTTGCCTAAACTCATACTGGAAAGCACTTCCATCAGATATTCATAAAGTCTTTTCTCCATCCGCACTCCATATGCCATTATCCAAGAAGGCATTCTCAATTACTGCTGTTGCGGGCTGTGTTGAAAGCTGTTTGACTATGATAACCAAAAATTAGGAATTTGGCAGCACTTTTTCTGACACATTTTATTTAAAAATAATAACCTTTCAGGAGCTGTTGCTTACTTCATCAGATGCTTAGTCAATACTATTATAACATGCTTAAAGAGATTCATATTTTGGTGGAAGTATTCAACACTTTGAACAAACTCACGTATTCGTTGCATTTATTAGCCTTCATCTATAGGCTATTGTATTTAAGGTGTACCACAGTTAAACATCAATGTACTAGAAAATATAAAGTTACTGGAACTGTTGTGGTGGACATTAAAATGTCTGAACTGAGATATAATCTAACGTACTCTTCACAGGCTCTGTTCTTATAATATTTATCTGACATTTCCAGCATCATGTATATTAACTAATATTATATTATTATGTTCTATGTATTATAGAGAGCAATTCAACCATATTTATATATTTTGATCATGTGAGCTATCTTTATCTACAATAGTAAAGGCAGGGTAAACAATAAATTAGCAAATATTCTGAAAATAATTCCAAGATATATATTTATTGATTCTTGAGCAAGTAAATTCTATGATATTTACTTGAGAGCCTAATAAATTCAACTAGTCATTTCTACAGAATCATAATATTTCACTAGACATTAGTACTGCCATATTCAAGGCTCTTTCAATCTTGCATCTCTAGCTGTATATGAACTACAACTCCAATCGCTTTGCAATCTTGGAAAAAAATCTGGGAGATGTAAACCTCACAAATCTGAAGACACATGATTTTTAACATACCACTTTGGCCATGTACAACTGTTTTATATTAAAATTATCAAATTAAAATTTACAGTTATATTATTACACAATTGTTTGTTAATATTGTTTACATAAGAGAATCTAACTTTCTTTGCACAAACATTTATCTCTATGCAAGCTTTCTATTACTTTCCATGTATGAATCTTTATGGCTTTTGACTAGGAAGTGATGCCAAATTCTTATTAATTGAGTTTGCATTCTGGTTTGTTTCACCACTATTAATCAAATTAATCTCACATGACTGGCTCCACAAATTATGCCAAACCAAAGCCAAATAAACTATATTATGGCTTAGTATAATGTGTGAATCAAATCCATTTTTTTCAGCTTTGTTCACTGAAATTTATTGAAATGTCAGTCAATATTGTTAGAGTATGCAATCAAATTAATTCATATTTTTATCTTTGGATAGAAATAGTCAACAATGTAACCATGTCATTAAAACATTTATTAGATAACTTCCGGTTCCAGTTCACGGCGTCACTAGTCGTACGCGGAGACTTCTCTCCTCGTCGACTAGGTTTCCCTCCGTCGGTGGACCCTTATATGGATCCAAAGTCACCCTGGAGGATGCAACTTCCGTCAAGGAGGCTGCTGTCTGGCTGCGGAGGAGCGGTGGCTCCTCCAGCTGTCCGGACGAATCTCCAAGGGCCGACGGAGAAGAAGATCGGCCAGTAAAATGGCTGATCGCCCTGCCACTTCAGACCGTAAGTCAGACAACATCTAATCTTTGAGTGTCCCTGTGGTGAATCCAGGTGAGAATTTTTTCTTATTTTTCTCTCTTTTCTGCCTTTTTTCATTTATGTACCTGTAAGAGCTTTTGAAATTATTTCCCTGGCTTGGAAAGGAGGCTTCTGCTTTCTTTGGGAAGAAAGGCATTTTACAAATACTGAAAGACTATATTTTACTTTTTATATATATATATATATATATATATATGTTTTCTGAGGTTTTCGCGGGTATTTGTATGTAGGTCTTTGGTTGTTCGGGTTTTCTCCCGCGTAAAATTGGAAGTGTCTTGGCGACGTTTCGACGAAGTCCATTCGTCATCTTCAGGCTGGTGTTTTCAGCTTCGTGCTTTGAGCACACACATTGCTGCTCAAAGCACGAAGCTGAAAACACCAGCCTGAAGATGACGAATGGGACTTCGTCGAAACGTCGCCAAGACACTTCCAATTTTTAGAGTATAATATATATTATACTCTAAAAGACAGAAAAAAAGAAATGATTTTTGGAAAAGACTTTCTTAACTCACTGAGGGCATCTAGTGGTGAAAATTTAATATTGCAACTTTGCTTATTCTTCTATTGAATTTCAAAACACTAAAGATAAGCTGTACACCTGTGAAGCTGTGGGGGTGGATGTTTTTATATTAAACAAAGCCTCTACAAAAAAGAAAAAGAGATTTCCTTTTAAGCATTAATATTAAAATGGAGAAACCTCAGATACAACTGAATTGTGCACTTATATTGGAAAAGATTTATGAGGCCACTGCAGAAATTTGTGCTACATTTAAAAACTGTACTTTAGAATTAAGATCCAGAGGTTCTACTACATTTGCTCAAACTGATGTCCAGGTTACAACTGATCATGGCATAAATCAAAATGTACCAGAAGAGGAATTTACAGAGATAGAAGTGAAATTTATTTCATCTGACAATCCTTTCTTCAGCAACTTAGAGAACCAGAAGAAGCAAAGACCTCAAAATACAAAGCAACTACACTGCAAGGAGAACAGAAAAAGACATTTACTGCAGAGGAAGAGATTTATATTTTCTCAAAGATTACTACAAGCAACAAGAATCGATCTATTGGTTGAAAGGGAAAAAAGACGTTTATTGCAGAGGAAGGGACGTACATTTTCCCAAAGATTACTACAAGCATCAAGAATGGATTTACTGATTGAAAGGGAAGCGCTTTTATGGAAGCCCGTGTGGCATAGAAAGAAATCCAGAATTAGACTGAAAAAGAAATTTAAAAATGTTTAATGGAGTAAAAGGCAATGTTGATTTTATGGATTGTTTTAAGGATAATGATCTAGAGCTAGAACTAAGAAAAATGAAATTATATACATGCATGTTTAAATTAGTAAGTGCTTAAATTAATTAGGTGATTTTTGTGTATAATAATATGATCTGATAAGGTATGATAATTAATTGGATGGAATTTGAAGTTTGTGTAATGAATTGAAAGGAATTAAGGTTTAACATTATTATTATTTTTTTCTTTTTTCTTTTCTCTTAATTAAGTCAGTTATAACTATATACATATGTGTTTAAATTAGTTAGATTTTTTTTTGTTGTATGGAATGGTTTGGATAAAAGAACCTTGGCTCTATGGATTGTATTAAGGATAAAAAATATATAATCATATATATATATGTATGTTCTGGGGTTGAAAAAAAATGTTCAGTCATGAGAATGTAATTTTGAAGTGCTTAAATTGATTAGGTGATTTTTGCCTATAATAATATGATCTGATAAGGTATGATAACTAATTGGATATCTGAAGTTTGAGTAATCAATTGAAGGAACTAAGTTTTAACATTTTTTTGTTTTTTTAATTAAGTTAGTTATCACTGGAAGAAGAAATGAATGAGTTTGGTGATAAGAAGAGGGCTGAGAGAGATTAAAAACTTTAATATACATGGTAGAAATACTTGAAGTGATAATTTGTTGATGTAAAACAATATTTGATTATGGTCATTTTAAATTGATAAAGCTTTAAAACAGAACAGAACAGTAACAGAAATTTAAGCTAGAAATGGAATATATTCAATCTATTATGTTATTTGTGAGAAATAGAGAGATGATAGTGAATGTATTAAGTTGAGCTGTTTATGTATGTTTTTTACCTTGAATTGTTTGTTTACCCAAACACCACAGTGTGTCTAAAGTACTCTTTGTTAAAATTAAAAAAACCCAATAAAATATATTTTAAAAAAACATTTATTAGATAAGGTAATAGGTGGCTACTGTACTTAAGATGACTCAGTGTCTTAGATCAGTGGTTCTCAACCTTTTTAATGCCGCAACCCCCCAACCGGTCATAAGGCGAGGACTACTCAACCAGTCGTAAGTCGAGGACTACTCAACTGGTGCAGCACCATTTGCAGAATGGGACTTTTGGCGGGCTCAGCAGGGCAGAGACAGCCTGGACAATTCCTACTGGCTTTTGAAAGCCAATAGAATTAGACTCTATTCAAGAGAGTCTATTCTATTGGCTTTCAAAAGCCAATAGAATAAAAGGGAGTAGCACAGCTAAGGAAAAGGGGGGGAAAATGGCGGACTGTGTTGTTTGGCGAC